CATTTTTATTCGTATCTCAATGTACCATTTTTCGCCTTTAGATTTTGTATTTCCTGCCGCAGCTCGCTTGGCCTTTTGAACCGCAATTAAGATTGCTTCGCTCATATGCCAGCTGTTTCTGCCTTCGGGGCGACGTCCTTCTCCTTTTTTTTTGTAACCATTTTCCCTAGGTTTTCCACCCTATTTCCCTGCCTGCCCGCCCCTCTGGTCGTTTCATTTGCATTCTTATCGGCTTCGCTGCCATGTTTAAATGTCGCCAGCATGAAAGTTTCACACAAAACCCAAACCCTGCTCCACTTTGCGTTGCTGCTTTTTTATTTTCCCTCATTTTTTGTTGTTGTTGATTTTAGAATGTTTCTTCTTGTGTTTATCTTTTGTCACATGTGAGTATGCGCGTATTTTTTTTTTTGTTGCTGCTACCATTTTTTATTCCTTTCCTCATCTCGGCAGCTGTTGATTTTTGATATATGGGTCCCTGCGGTGCTGTTTGGCTTCGCGTGAGTGGGCGTGAACTGTGACTGCGAATGTGACTGGTAGTCACATTTCAATGCGTTTGACTTCCGTGGGTGAGCTTAAAAATATATACGAATGTATATGTCAAGTGGTGAAGGAAAAGGAGGAGTAGGAGGGTCCTGGTCCTGTGTAATCAAGAGCCAGAACAGGAAACTTGCCAGCGGCAACGAATCAAAGACGGAAAGTCTTCCAAGGCCCCGATAAAGGATTTGATAAGGGCATGTCAAACGAAGGCGTTTTCACATTTTTCACATCTTCCCACACACATTTTCTGACATATATTTTCCCTCACCGAGGAGAGCCAGATGAATTAGATGCTAATGATGGTGATGAAGAGGCCCTCGAAATGGCTTAACTTTTAGGGGATTTTCAGGGGTGCGTGGGGTTAAAAAATGTGATTTTTTTAAGGTAATATAAAGTAAGAAATGAAATTTTAAGTTTTAGAAACATAATATGATATTAAATCAATTTTTTAAATATTTTTTTAGAGTTAAACAATTGTTCTAGGTTTGTCATTGGCATTTCTGCTTGGAAAAACTAAACAAAGAAATTTTTTATAAACATTTATGCCTTAATAAATATTTCAAAAAGTTTCTTAAATATTTAATATATTCAAATAAAATTTAAAGACATAGTTACCAGGTCTCTACATAGTCTCAAAGCCCATCTTCATTCTCCTGTTGCTACCCGATAATTGCACACATCAACGAAGATTTGAGCATTTTCCGTAAAACCAAATTTTCTGAGCCGAGAGGCAAATGTTTACAAAATGTTGGTCAGCCTGCAAATTCAATCGAAATCGGAGTCACTCCCCCGGGTGACTTCATTTCCCAGCAAATTGTTATTTCAATTGTCAGCAGTCGACAGTTGTGCAGTGGCAGTGCTGGTGCCCCGCCCACAGATATGCAGTTAATTTTGTGCTTGTGACTGCAATAAATTTTAAATGCACATTTCCAATGAAAGAAGCAGCCGGCAGCAGCAGCAGCAGCTACGACGGATCCAAAACGAAACGAAACGGAAAACAATTTTGTGCAATTTTCAACTAAAACGAGGAAAAGAGGGGGTCAGAGTGACACACATATGGTATGGCCAAGTGCAGTCGAGAGAATCGATGTCCTCGGGAGTCCGAGCTGTGGAATTCAAACTCTGACGACAAATGAAATTGTTGCTGGCAAAGTGCTGCGTTTAAGGAACTTCTCCTCTTTCCACTACCACTTGGCATTTGTATATTTCATTTAGCCAGGCTTTTGTGTCCGATTGCAGTTTTATGACAGTTTTTAAAGTCATTTTCGATGGGTGTAAATTTGGTTTAAGTTGGTCCTCTGTGGCAGGGTATAGCACAGGACATTTATTAGTTGAAGTTGCAAATGCTTTTAGGTGTGGCAATTATTTATTGATATTGAAGATTGGGATTTATTTAAAGGGGAGTTTGGGAAAATTAAATAAAAATGCTGTAAGTTTGTTGATGAATGGAAATATTGTGTAGAAATATTAATCGATTGACTCATGGAAATATTTTTAAAATACTAGCAAACACTTTTCAGCTTACTTAAGTACAATATATACTTATTTAAAATTATATTTAGCTTTTTATTTTGACTAAAAACCATTGAAAATTAATACAGACTTCCATATTCTTCTCAAAAAGGTACTATTACTTAAGTTCCCACACATAACCCTCTTAATTTCCCTTCTTCCCCTTCTTTTAGGTGAAAGTACCACCCTTTTGGCCAGTCTCCCTCATATCATGTGTGGTTTTCAGCGTGGCCACCGACATTTTGGCAAAGATTTTGAATTTTAAATGCGGCTAATTGGAACTAAACTCATTACACACCGGCGAGAAGTCACCCCTCCTCACACGAAATGCGAGAGTGTCCTTGTGCACAAAACTGGTAATAGCCAACCCACACCCCTTTGCCACACTCCCACCATTTTCCAAACATTTTCCACCCATTTTCACGGTGAAATTTTGCGCACATTTTGGCTTGTTATCATTTTCACAACAAGGAAAGTCACAGAAAACGATTCTCCCGTTTGTGTGCGCATTTGTTTTAATTATTATGAAAAGCAAATTGCCTAATTAAAAATGTTAAATTCATTTTAATATTTAATTACAATTAATTCGAAGCGCAATGAAGCGGAAAAGGTAATAGATACGGCGTGTGTGTGTGTGTACTAATGGGTTAATTGTCAGTGAAAATCCCCACAGCTGGAAGCTTAGGCTGGGCTCTCTCTTCTCTATTTTTTTTTATCAAAAGTGATGGATGGAGCAATCAAATGGTCGTAATGTCATCAGCACATCAGCCATACATAAGTGGTCAGGGGCAGCAGGATCTCTCGCAGGACCTCACACGTGCACACACATGACAGCGATGTCATGAGCCTGCGTCCGATGATGACGATGATGAGTCACTTTGGTCATGAAGCTATTTTTACGCTTGATTACACGATAAATGAAAATCAAACGTTTGATTGCTTAATGCCAGGGTGCTAAGGGTCATCCGCACCACCACTTCCACCACTGGCCACACCCACTAGCCAGCCAGAAAGTGCTGCAATTTTGCCAAAGTAAAAGTCTCTGGAGAAAGCGAAAAAAGGTGATAGCAGTGCAGAGGGAGAAATTTTTAAGAGCTGTTTTTTCTATATATTTTTTTATGCTGATTTATTATTTAAGGTAATTAATTAATTACTAATTCTGAGGAATTTAAAGCTATTATTGAGAAAATTAAAATAGAAAAAATTATGTAAAATGTTTTTAAAGATAATTTTACAAGTTATTTTGAATATAATTTATTGATTAATTTTTTAAATTGTTTTAAAATGTATATTTATAAAGTAAACAATTTATTTACAATTTATTCACAATTTCGTTTTTTAATTTATGACTTAAAATATTTTTATTGATAGTTTACACCATTTATAAATTAATTATTAAAAATTGTTTATATTTAGGTGTTAATTTTTTGGGGAATTTAAAGTTTAAAAATATCATAACTCTGCCAAAAATCTATTAATTTCAATTCGGAAAACTTTTCTGAGCTAGTTTTAATTAGTTAAACATTATGCATATTAAATTTAATATTTTAAAAAAATTAAATTTTTGCAAAATTTTTCACAATTTGAACGATGTAACCCCTTATAAAATTAAATAAAACTTTCAAAAATTTTTTTTTCTGCTAAACATGGCTAGATCAACTCTGCTGTTGATGCTGATCAAGAATATATATGATTTATAGGGTCGGAAATAACTCCTTGTTAACTTATGACTAATTTTAATGTTTAGGAGGGGAATAATTACTTATTTTCCCATAGAAAACTCTTTATATTTCATCAAAACTCTTAATACTTTTTTTGCTCAGTGTAGCATTGTGGCTAGTAGGGGGCAGTGAGTGAACATTTCAATTATTTATATGCTTGTTTGTCCTCCTTCGCTCTCTGATCTGCGTGGACTTGGTGGTGGGGGTGGGTCTGCCAAGGGGTATGGCTCCATGTGTGTGCACGTGTCTGATAGCCAGCTCCTCTGCTTTCTAACACTTGACTGCTTTCGGCCGGGTTATCGCTTATTTTTTTTTGCTGTATTTTAGCTTCCTTTGGAAGCTGGACTTTGACTGATTTGATGATAGTTGAGTGCGCATTCCTGAAAGTTATTGCCCGACACCTCTTGAAAATCCCACCAGCAGCAGCCAGCTTGCCACTTTGATTGATTCGTTAATCTCCCAACGAAATACAAATTAAAAGCTTTTTGTTTAGCTCCAGACCACTTCATGTCTCCTTCTACTCCTAGAGCCGCATAAACCGCTTATGTTAATTAAATTTTAGGGGTTTTTGGAGGAGATCTTCCGCTACTCTTTCCGCCATCAATCAATCTGAAGACGTCCTTTGCGAGTTCCTTGCTTTTGTTTAGTTTAACTTGAAATGTATTTGCATTTTTGTACTCATTTCGAAGGGGTTAAGTCCTTTGGCAGCTCCTATATTGATGAGTGGGGTTAGTGGGGCTGTCAAAGGGCTTCCCTTAACTAAAAGCGGAGTAATCAATAACTGAAAGGGTGTCTAAGATAGTGGAAAATACTTGTAGAGGGTTAATGGATGGGATGAACTTGGGGTTAAAGAAGGTTAAATGGTTTAAGTTTTATTTCTTTTTTATTTTTCACAAATTTCTGGCAGGGGTTTTTGGTTTCTTTTTAGTTAAATTTAAAACCATTTTCCTTTAGTTACTTTTAAAAATTATTTTAAGAAAATTCTACACCCTCTTAAAGTATCCATTCCTAATGAAATTTATATAATATCAAGTCTACACTTTTATTTATTTTTTTAATTCAACCCTAGTCAAGTTTCCTTATCTTATTTGAACTTATATCACCTGTAGTTTCGCTTCAACACCTCTGGTATATATATGCCCGACTATTGACACTTGATAAATGCTTGGTTGGTTCCGGAAAAACTCAGGGTCTCCCTGTCACTGACAACACACCCCACTGACTTTCAAGTTCATAGTTAAGTTTGAGTTTAATTAGAGGTTAAAAATTAGAGAATTAATATTTATAAAATAGATATAGATAATGTACAAGCTCCCTTTGGTTAATTATAGTATTTGGCACTTTTTCGATTTGGTTTAAACCCCTTTTCCTTGGATTTTCTTCTTCTTTTTCTTAGTTTCCTCTTTTGTTTTAGGGCCTTGCCAGCTGACAGTTTTGCACTCTGGCAAAGTTTTCAGTGTATATTAAATCGCAAATGGCAGCATTATTGTCATAGTTCATCTCAGCCACCTTGAACTCTGGATTAATGGCTATTTTAAGGGTATAGGAACCGGGTCTTAGGTCGGTTATATCCACCCACTGGCAGTCCAGATTGTACAGATAGACATCCGAGCAGTTGATGGAAATACCTGTTGAAAATATTAATTTTTAAAATATTTATATTAGGTGTTAGGTGTATTATTTACCCTGATCCCCATAGTTGGCACAACTATATTTTTTGGGCACTCCTGGCAGGCAATTGCTGTCCTCTAGACAAAAGGAAGCCTTGTGTCCCTGGGCCACCTTACGTCCACTCAAATCGAAGATGTCAAAGGTGGCAAAGACCTCCATGCTGTGAAAGTGCCTGAAAATAAAGGAGAGATATTTAAAATATAATTTAAAATAAATAGAAATCCATTTTCTTGACTCACATATGACACATGTGCCACTCCCACTGGCTTTTCTCCTTGAAAGGCCGGAAATCCGCATTCCCTGCATTGATGGCTGCCGCTGTGAATTTAAGCAACCTTCTCGATCTATACCGCCAATGGGGATCATCTCTTTGAATCTGATAGGCCTCATTGGCCACACAGTTCTCCTCCATGGCGCACTGCATGAGCAGCATGGGTCGATCCTCCAGGTGGGCAGTCTGCTCTATCTCCAGGTAATCCACCACCAAATCAGGTGAAAGATAATCACAGATCACAGCAGCCACATGCTGTCTATTCCCATGGCAACTCACTATGCCTCGAGCAGCATCGTGATGCAGGCAGTCGGCCAACTCGGTCTCATTGCCATAACACTCGGTGCCACTCAGGGCAGGTTGCGAGGCATTGGCTCCTCCAAAGAAGTCCGTTTGGAAGGCCTCGCTGGCATAGCCCAGGCCCATCTGGCGACACAGGACATTGGCTTCGAGGAGGGACCAGCCATCGGCACAGACACTGCCCCAGCGACCGCCATCCAGGCTGACCTCCACCCTTCCCTCGTTCCGACTTCGGCCACCTCGCAGACGCACATACAAGCGGGATCGTGAGTGGATGGGATACTTGGGCAGATCCTCATCCCGGAGGATGGGCACAGGTAGGGGTATTAGGGCATTTTCCGGGGGATAACACACCACGCCCGCCGCCTCCCCAGGCTCACAGTCATTCTCGCCCCAGCCCTCAAAGTGGCAGTTGACCAGCTCTTGTTCGTGGCCCTCGCAGAAGAGGTTGTCCATCCAGAAGCGACGACGGGCGGCACCAAAGTAGCCACTTCTGGTGTACCGCCTCATCCCGGGAAAGCCCAATTGCCGGCACACGATGTGACCTTCGGCGGCATCCCACTCGTCATCGCAGACAGCACCCCATTTGCCATTGTGGAGGACTTCGATGTTGCCTGAATAGTAATTTATTTTTAAATAATATAAATATTTATAATTAAATCCTTTAGCTCACCTTCGTATTCATTGTCTCCTCCCACGAGACGTATGGCGCCCTCTTCCTTGTTCAGGACCTTGCTGTAGCGATGCACCAGCCGCTGCCTCTCCAGCCTGGCATCCTCCAGGGATCTATGCTGCACCACAGCCTCCGTGAGATAAAGGAGGAATATAGTTAACCAAAACTGTAGCCCTATCATAGCGAAGAGATCCTATTTATCTTTGACTGCCCGTCTCGACGTTCGCTCGAGAACTGAAGCTCCGAGCAAACAGAATCATTTAACTATGAACTATTACCGGCCAGATACAGATACAAAGATACAAAGATACATAGGTAGGTAGGTGGCTTGTTAGCTACATATTCAGATATATTCAGATATATATTGCGCTTGTTGCGCTTCAGAAGCTCGCTCAACTGACGTCATTGGGGCGCCTCCACGAGGGCGGAATCTCAACGATATATGTATTTATCCAAAAGCCAAAAGCCGAGAGTGAGCACTGGAGATACGATGTCGGATATAGTCAGAGAGCTGAATCTATTTCCCGCACGTATGCATGTCACTTAATGGGTTTTTCATTTTGAGGCAACACTGACATTGCTCCAATACACTACAGGAAAAAGCGGGGCTTTTTAAATTTAAATCTTTGAAATATTTATAAATAAATCAACTTATAAAGAGGTTTTAACCAAGGTTTCCATGAAAGTTAAAGTTTTAGTAGACCCCTACTTCATTTAAATTTCTCTCAGTGCTTTCCCAAGGCCGTCTCACAAATATTGCTCTATAAACAAATGCGAAAAGGAAGCAGTAACCCATCTAGTTTATCATCACAGCCATCAATAAACCATTATAAAATATTTCTCACACCCATTACAAACATTTAATGAGAGAGCTTTGTTTTGAACCCTGAACTGCTTCCCCACGCCCCATCCCCATCCCCTACCCCCGAATAAAATGCATTGCAAAATTCCAAAAATGGATATGAAAATATGGAAAACGAAGCCATAATTTCGTGTCTCTGACTGAACACGACCCACATGTGAATCTGATGTTTTCGGAATTTAACAGCAAAATAACATCGTCATCGTCATCGTTGGGGGAAGCCCATTAGTGTGTTTGGCATGCAGCCACTGGAAACGTTGCATGCCACATGGAAAAACATGAACTTGACACTGAAACCAATGCCAGGAAAACGCCACAATAAATTCAAGCAAAATAAAAGTTAAAACAAAGTAAAATAGTAAAACTAACAGCTCATGTGGGCAGCTCATTAGCAAAAGTGGCAGGCCGCATAATCGTAATTGGAAATCAAACTTGATTAGGTCAGCTACACAGAGAGCTAGATATAGTATAGATATAGTATAGTATATAGGGAAATCGAAAACGAAAACGAAATCGGTGGCCATTGAAGCGTGCCTCCCTCGCCATACATTTGCTGGATAGATTTTCAAGATCAATGTAGATCAAAACCCCGGTAATTGTCTATTCAGGTCTTTCATGCTGATGGATGAATGACAGCTCGTTGTTATGGTCGAGACATTGGGGCAGATTGATCAATTAAAGGTAATTTTCAAAGATAATTGGTAAATGTCAAGCTGGAAATTTAACTAGAATATGATAATCTATTACACCTATTATTTTGGTTAAAATATATTTTAGAAATATAATTAGAAATAGAAAAAAAAATATAAAAATAAAAATTATAAATAAATATTATAATTTAATACAATTCCACATAAATTAAACATTTTTATTGAGTAATAAACCTCAAGAATCTATTTAAATTCTTGATTTATCAAGTTCATTGTTCATTCTAGTTTTAATTACAAATTGCTGTGCCAGTCACGTTAGGCCACTTTTTTCCCCACTTCCACTATACATCCAATAAAAATCTAGAACCAATAAAAATCCATTTCTATCAATATTCACACCCACCATTCACTATATTCATTCCCATAACCCACACAGCAAATATGTTTATGCGGTCCAACATGTAAATATCTAGCTATATGGTGAGCGGCGGACTGCTGCACGAACCGATCATAAATATTGGCCAGGGGAAATTAATTGGATAAACGTTTTATGATATTGAATTATGATGGGGCAGACGGGGGCAGGGCAGCATCTCCCGAGATATTCCCACACAATTCAAAAGGGGAAAAGGCGCGAGGCGAACATTTTATGAGTGCGTAAATTCCGTTTCGATGGCCGCTTGCGGGGCTAAAAAGGGCATAAAGGACATGCCACATGCCGCATGGACACTGGAATCCTGCAGCAGCAACACCATCATGCACCAAGGTAATAAAATTCGATAGAAAATCGTGTAATAAAATCATTACACACACCAGAACCAGAGAACCAGAACCAAACCAGAGACAGAAACAGGACCAAGTCCGTTCAGCCTTTGCCAATCCCGGCACTAAAATCAAACGCAGCTCCTTGCGACTCCTGATCCTCTGCCAGTTACTCCTTCTGGGACATAAAAACGGCAACGTGAGGCGCGACAAGTCGCCTCCTTTTGGCCAACAATAAAATGGCAGAGCCCAGGAGGAGAGATGGAACAAAAAAAAAAGAGGAAAATAATTTGTGTGGGAGCTACCCAGCCCCCGGGGTATCCTGGCTGTATGCAGGCTGTTCTCCCAGAACGGATGAAAAGATAAAAAATGGTTAAGGGATATTGAAAGGCGGTAAATTGCTTTATTACTTAAGTGAGCCCAGAGATGATTAGGTTCGCGCTGCAGCTTGCCTTGTGGCGACTCATTAAAACGGAGTTTCGACTTGGGAAATTGCAAATGAGCGGAAAAAATGAATGGGAATAATAAGGAGAGTATATACAAGGGGCTGAGCTGGTAATATAATGGCTAAGCAACGGGGTTTTGTGCCTAGTTAAGAGTTAGTTTGGTTCCTGAGTTAGTGTGGCAGTAAATTAAGAGGTCTTAGCTGTGATTAGGTGGCTAAAATATAGATTTTGTAGGCTTAAATATGAAATATATATTTTGAATATTATTTTCTACAAAATATCTGTTAGTATATAAGCTTTTTTACTTACTTTTCTAAGGCTCTGCTGGCAATTATCAGCCAGAATTACACTCATAACTTAATTTAGAGCAAAGACAAGCAGCAGAGACCATTAAATCTTTTTATAATGATATCATACAGTCGTATCACACACAAGTATAAGGCAACAGAGCTGCTCATTTCGGACATTAATAAAATTGGATGACGCGCTGACAGCATAAATGTCACCCGAAAATGCTATTAAAACTAAATTATAGCCGGCATATAACCATGATTCATGGGCGGCAAGACCCCTGCCCCCTTTCTGGCGAAAAGAAATCGTAAAAAATATAAAATGCCAAATTTGTAGCTAGCTTATGGCAGAAAAAGAACAAAAAAAGATTATTAATTCTTAATAAGAAGGCGGAGAATGCAAAGCAAAGGGAGAAATAAAAACTGAAATTGTATAAAAAATGTGGCAAGTGGGGCGTGTGTCTATGGCTGCCTTGAAAATGTGCCAAAAAACGTAGAAAAAAAGAAAAACAAGCTCTCACAATCAGTGAATGCCCTGGCTGGGTATACCCTTTTTTCATGCGAATTCCAATGGATTTTTCTTTTGGAAACAGAAATAATAAAATTAAAATGCGCCTTTTGCCTTGCCTCGAACTCAGTCAGTTGGGCACGAAAAAAAGAACACACAGAGTCCAAAGCAATAAAAATAATAATGAAATCAAAGGAATAAAAACAACTGAGAGACAGGGACTCACAATGGGGCCAGACTCCTCTAGTCGCAGGACATTGGGAAAATTGCTGCTCGCTTCTCGTGGCGAATCATAATGAGCTTTGCGAACACATTTCGTTGGCTGAATAGGAAATTATTTCATTGTCTGGGTAACCTAAAAAAAATATATATAAACTCTACAGGCTTTAAAATTACAAATTAACTTGCTTAAAGTATTTAAAGCTACCCAGAAATATTGAAATACTTCCAGGGAATTGTAAAAATGATTTATTGAAGCGTTCAAATACGTTGGCACTTCCTGGCAAGCTGGCGACAGTTTATGGCCAATTGAATGGCCAGCACTCGATATCACAGCAAACGTGCTTTTTGATATATTGTATTCCCCTAACAGGTGGCCTTTCCGGTCTTCAATTTCCTTCAATTTCCGCTTTTAAGCAATTTATGAGGTATGGTAAATCAATTTAATAATATGGATATGCCTTTAAAGCGAATAAACTCAGTTTCTAAATATTTCTAGACTTATTCAATATTTTCTTAAGATCTCTCACATCTTTTCTCTGGCAAATAAAATACCAGAAGCAAATATTGCAAGTCGTAAGTCCCAAGTCGACCCGTCCTACTGTATCATTTTATTTTATTTTAATTTCGTCTTGGCCTCCCCCTAAGGCTTGGTCCTTGCCAAGGATTTGCAAGTCGAAGTTTTAGCTTATTTTGCTGTCTGTCAGCTCAGACAACGTGTGCAAATATTTATCTTGGGATTTAATATGAAGCTAGCTGCTTTTTTTACTTACTTACTTAGGCCCAGAGTAAAAAATCAATTAATGTTTTTCCCTTCCTACTAATTGAATTGGCCCAAGTCTAGTAAAAATAATAAATAAATCCAGAGCTCCATTGTTCCGAGACGGCACACATCTGCTCGATATCATTGGAATTTGTCGCCGTGCAGACACTAAATGAATTATGTAACATGTCTAGCCATTTAGTGCCATAATTCAAAGCAATCTATGCCGCCAGACAACACACATGTAGAGAGTCCTACGCCCATAAAAAAAAGGTAGGGCGTGGCAGGGCTTTATGGCTGCAGCCCAAATTGCACGCAGTCCAGACAAATTGCATTTGCATCGCGTAATTGGAAAATGTCGCCTATGGATGGGAAAAAAATAAGAGAAAATGATTGAAAAACTATAATTTGTATGGGAGGTTTATAAGTGATGAATCTAAATGGAATTTGCGCATTTAAAATAAACAATTTACTTTTACTACAAAAATATAAAAGTCCCTCAACAGATAGTTGCTTAGATTAAGGCGTCATTATTTTCACTTTCCTTGTTTATTTTTGAACCCTTCCAAATTCCAAACTATTCTTTGGACGTGGAACCCCTAAAAAACGGACTAATGCCCGTGGCAGTGAAACTTGTGGAGGCCTTGACCCTGGTCACCATCATGGGGGTGATCCTGTGCATCGGCCTCAGCGTGGTTATGGCCCAGCACACCATCAGCATGATTGTAACGTTTCTGCAGGTAATTTTATCTTCCAAAAGAGTGCAGAATTTTAATTTGAAAATTTTAAAAGCCCGCTGCGAATATAGCCAATGTGGCTTTGGTAGTGACGGAGAAAATCCTGGTGTCCATGCTGCTTGGCATCCTGACACTGACTAATGTGGTGCTAAAAGCCTTGGCCGCGGCTGCATAAAAGGATCATTATGTTGTCTGAATCGAAAATTATCAGTATATGTACGTGGTTTCTGTCTGACCCAGGAAGGAAAAGGAAAACCGGCGGCGGCATCGCTCTCTTTACTAATATTCAATCAAACAATTTAACGCCCCAATAAACATTTCTAACCTGCGGCTGGCCCAAAAATAAAATAAAAACCGAAACTCGCTCAATTGCACCAAATTTGCGCCTGGCCAGAAAGGAGGAGCACAAAAAAATATATATATTTTTACCACAAAAGCCAATTTGGGGCCGCGCGAGTTTCAACTGCGCTCGAGGATGAACATCGCTTTTGAAGCTGCCTTTTAAATACACTTTCCAAGGGGTTAATTTAAATTTTTATTTATTTTTTGGTTTATATTTCTCACTGAAAATGTACTTGAAATGTGCCTTTTAAGGGAAATTTTAAGGCATTCAAATAAACAGTAAATAAATTACTTTAAATAAATAAATTAAAGCCATGTTTGGCTGCCAAACTTGGTTATTCTGAAAATCTTATGAAAAGCTTGACAGATATTTATCTCTAACAAAACGTTGAAATATCGAATATTTCTATAAATTTATTAATCTAAATAAGATTTATAAATATACACATAATAAGTACTTAATTTAAGATCATTTCCTTGGTCGTTTTTAGTTTAAAGTTAAAGCCTTAACACCTTTTGCCAGCTGTTTATTCTATTATTTAGTTATTTATCAATGTTTAAAGCCCGGTCTGGGTGTGGGTCTTGGGGATCTCCTTGGCCCGGGTCCAATCCCAATGGGGGAGGCACGCACAGCGGAAAAGAGCCCCAAACCAGACACAAGTGTAGGTGTCTGCTGTGGCTGTATATTTTTTTTGTTTTTTGATTTAGTGGCAATTTCGTGGAGCAGAAATTGCCGAGTGCCCCGGGGGTAGACTTGAAAACAAGCAGATTACAGGCGGAAATTGAGGCGAGAGAGTGGAGAAGCTAACAAGTCCAACTGGAGCTCAGAGAAATCGGGCAGTAAGTACCCAACAGATCATTCATTACCCTCCAAGATCAGACGATACCAATCGGGTATGAAGCTGAGCCGTTGGCCAGAGCCTTTGTTCCAATAAATGCACCGCTTCTGGGCCACATAATTGAACTCGTAGATGGTGCTAGGGTCGTTCACGTTCTTCATGTGCTCTCGGACTTGACCCAGGAACTGCGAGAGAAACTGCTGGCAAAAGTCCGCTGACCAATTGTCTTTCTATTATAAAATGATTTAAAAACTTACGATTATTTTCCTAGTTAAAGATTTTTAAGCTCACCGAATCCCTGCACAACTTTTCACAGGATATTGGCTCCAGGCTCTGCACGCGACCATAGGGATCGGCCAGGGCCAACATAAAGTTCTTGGCACCCTTCAGTTGACCCTCTGTCCACCATTTGAGCGCCTCCTCCGGGCTGTACAACTCGGTGAAGAGTCCGCCATCCATGCGACGGAGTTTCTCTCCCAATTTGCACTCCAAAAACATTAATTCCAGGATTTTAGAATGCGAGGGACTATAAAAATTATATAGATTTATATTTAATATTAATAATTAATTAAAATAAATGAAACTTACGCTTCTGAGCTCTCAAAGACGGCTCCATTAATGGGTGCAGAATATATAACCGATAAATCGTTCAGGCGACAATTTAAAATATAATTAAACTCGGAGCACTCTTCGGGAGAGCCCTCGGCCTGGGTCTCGTTGAAAGCTTTAAGAAAAGGTGGAAAAATAAATATAATAATAAATATCATATGTAAGATTTTTCACACCTTTGTAAACCTGATGCTTCAGCATGGTCTCCATGGCGGACCTCCTCATCCGATCTTCCGTCCAGGGCTGCTCGTCGGGATTCTCCAGGCACAGATACACAGTGTCCCTGTAGTTAATGGCCAATATAAGCCAGTTCTCATTTGGCCTAAAGGGCGTACACATCAGGGTCTGGAGCAGCTCCAACTGGCACACAAGGGGGGCCCTAACCCGCCAGCCGTGGCTGCCCTTGTTACCAAAGGGACACAGCAGCTCGAAACTATTGTCGCAGATGCCGTACAGCAGATTATCCAAGTATTCGTCGTAGAAGTGATTCGACGTCTTTCTGTAGGAACACTTCAGGGGTGCGCTGAGGTACAGGGGAAAGGCCTTCGGCTTGGGGTAATACAGCGATCTCAACTGGCTGGCATTGCCTTGATAGAAGCGTTCCGGCGACACACTAAAGTAGGCCAGAGGCTTTTCCAGCTCGATTAATACCTTTACTTTCTGGGCGCACTTCTTGTACTCCTCCAGGTTTAGGAAAAGTTCATTCGAGGAATCCATTTGTATTTTTATTTGATTTTTTCTTGTAGAAATTCGTCGTTAGATATTCTTTCCAAAAGTGAAATTAGCTGTGTCATTCAGGAAAAATTTCTCGTCAAGGGTTGCCTAAGTAACTGGCAGATATTGTCAGCAGTTCTCCTAGAGTTGTGTCCTTAAGGGTAACCTCTTAAGACTGTCATTTTTAAACCTTTTAAAACCTTTAAAAACAATAATAAAAACAAACAAAAACTAAATTTCAGTGACCAAAAAAGACTTTATTTAAAATTCATGGCTGAAAGATAATGAAGTTAAGGATGAGCTCCTCTTTAAACCAACTTATTGGCCTCCGCCACCTCTGATTCCTCGGCTGCTCCTGCCTCTGGAGTGGTGTTCTCCTCTGCCGGCTCTGTGGAGCTACTCTCAGGAGCCTCTGCTGGCTGCGCACAAGAGCAAGCATCCCTGGTGTTCTCCTCGATCCACTGGTTAAAGTTGCTCACCCGCGTATACACACCCGGGGCATTGGGCTTGGCACAGCCCTCGCCCCACGACACAATGCCTGCTAGTTGGTAAGCCTCGCCCGAGCCCAGGACATGCATGGGTCCACCACTGTCGCCCTGGCAGGAATCCTTGCCGCCCTGCTCCACATAGCCGGCACAGATCATGTTGTCGGTGATCTTGGCTTCACCATAGTTGCTCTCCCGGCACTCCTGCTGGCTGAGAATGGGAACCTCCACCTCCTGGAGGGTATCGGAGACGGGGCCGCCCTCGCTCAAGGCTCCCCAGCCAGTGACCACGGCCGTTTGGCCGGCATAGCTTTCGCTGGGTATTGGCAGGCACACGGGATGCATGTCGATGCCCAGACGCACGGGCTCGTTGAAGCGGATCAAGGCGATGTCGCTGTCAAAGTTGCGGGTGCTGTAATTGGGATGAATCAGGACCCGGGCCACGCGTCTGTCCACGATCTTCACATTGCTATCCTGACGATTGTGCTCCAGCAAGCGGACGGTGATGAGGCGATGATAGAAACCATTCACACAATGGGCGGCGGTCAGGGCATACTGGTCGTTCACCAGGGAGGCGCCGCAGTAGAAGTTGCCGAACCACATGAGCATGATCATCCAGGGATACTCGTGGACCTCCGTCTCTTGGCCGCCGACGATGCGGTGGCGGGTATTGACGCTGCCGCAGGAGCACTCACTGCACTCCCTCTTGGCCGGGGAACTCCATTCCGCTGGCACCTCTGGTCCTAGGATAGACTGGATCCAGTCCAAGAAGCTGCTTTGCCTTAGCTGGGCCAAGGAGTCGAGGATCCTCTCGGGCTCCGAGACGCCACGCAAAGAGGGCGTGGCCCAGGACAACCTCAAGGCAGCCAAGAGGAAAATCAGTACAGAAAAATAACCCATGATGATGATGAACTAGCCTGGCCAACTGGCAATTGGCAACTGACCAAAGGCATCCTGGCCAAGACCAAGAACTAGCTTCAAAAAAAGAACTGGCCAGACCAGAATTCTAAAGAGAAACCGGCTCCTGGAAGAGGTTAGCGCACTTTGTGGCAACTTTTCTTTTAATCAATAAATATATATAAAACAGCTTGAGAATAGGAAGGTTTATACTCTGCCGAAGGTTTCCTCAGTTCTAGCTGGGCTTTTGTTTGTCTTGATTTTAAGGAAACATATCCCTAGAAAGTGCAAAGTTATTTTCAGGGAAAATAGTTTGTTTCTGGGGATATGGTTTGGGTTTTTACTTTTAGAGAGGAAATAATAAGTTTTTTGTTAGGAAAACTTATCTTTCAAAACGGGAATTGGAAATTGAGTTTGAGATTCCCCTGATTCCACCTTCATTGAGAGTATTCTTTTTGCAACTACTTAAGGTTACAGAAATATCTAGACTGCTCTCTCTTTCTACTTGATCTTCTTGGTCTCCTGCTGGCAGAGGCAAGCCTGTTTGGTGAGGTTCTTGATCCAAGTTCCATAGCGATTCACTCGGGCATAGACGCCGGGATAACCGGCCTTGGCACAGCCCTCGCCCCATGAGACCACGCCGGCGATTTGATGCTCTCGCGTGCCGCTGGCTACGATGTGGAGTGGGCCACCGCTATCACCCTGGCAGGAGTCCTTGCCGCCTTCGTCATAGCCACCGCAGAGCATGTTGTCCGTGATCTTGTTGCCATAGCGACTCTTGCGGCATTCGTCCTGGGAGAGGATGGGGACTTGAACCTCCTGGAAAAAGGGGAAAATATAAGTTTGGTAAGTAAATTCCTATAATTCCCAAGTGGTTTTAATTAACCTGCAGCGTATCCGATGTTGGTCCTCCAACTTTCAGGGCTCCCCAGCCTGTGACAATACCGTTCTCCCCCTTGAAACTCCTGCCCGGCGTGGGCATGCATACAGGATGCAGAACTTCATTGAACTCCACCGGCTCGTCCAGCTTAATGATGGCTATGTCGTTGTCATAGTTCCTGGCATTGTACTTTGGATGCGTGATCACCTCGGCCACCTTGCGGTCTATCTTCTGCATGTGCGACATCTTGCGGTCATGTTCCAGCAGCCTCACCGAGATCCTTTCCTTGCGGAAACCATACACACAGTGGGAGGCGGTGAGGAGGAACTGGTCATTGAGCAGAGAGGCGGCACAGTAGAACCTGCCGCCGTAGAGGAGCATGGCCACCCAGGGATACTGATGCACCTCTGTCTCCTGGCCACCAACTATCCGTTTCTGGATGTTGGCTATGCCGCAGACGCAGTCGCGGCACTTCCTCGGCGGGTCCAGAGTGGGCGGAGCAGGGGTGGTGGCCCTCCTGGTGGTCGTTGTACTCGACGATGGAGCCGGCGTAGTGGTTGAGGTGGTGCTCACTGAGGGCTCTGGCAACGGGGAGCTACTACTCAGGGTGGCCACAGTGGCATTTTCCGAGTCGGAGCTACCAGGACGCTGGGGTAGCAGCGACAGAACCCACTGGATGAAGGTGTTCTGGGATTGCTTCAGCAGGGGATTCGCTGTGGTCTCCGAGGCGGGCAGGCTCTGATCTTGGCCCACAGCCAGGCCGATGATCAGCAGGCACAACCATATGATGGTGGTGGTGGTGGTGGCTCCTCGTCGACTCATTTTGGACTAGACTTTTTCCGGCTTTCTCCACAGCGACACCACCGATGAGCGTGGCTCTCGGCGAACTGATCGGCCAGCCGCTTGGCCAGCATTTGAAAGCGGCATTTCACCCAAAAAAAAAAAGAAAGAAACAAAAAAAAGTGGTTCTGGCCGGTGGCACGTCCACTTTGCCAATCCGATTTACACTGGAAGAAAAGTAGAGTAAATGGGGTTAAAATAAATAGATCAAATGTAAGTGTAATAAAAATAACTCTAGTTAAAATAATTCTACTGAAAAAGTAACTCTAAAAATAAGAAATTAACAAGCCTTTTTATGTGATATTTTGAACACTAAAAAATCTATTAAAGTTCCTATATAAAATCTTACAATATTCAAATTTGTTTTCTATATATTTTATCTATTTTTTTCAGTGCACTGACACACTCCCCTTTGGATTTGCATTCGGTATTCTGCGCATGCGTGGGCGCCTTAGGGCATCCGCAGCTCACTCAGCACACAGCACAACGCACTTTACACACACTCTACACACCACACACACTCTCGACACACCACACACATATTCTACACACACACATACACTTCTTACAATCCAACGATTGACCATGATACTTCACTTGATTCGCTGGCAAACAAAACAAAACCAAAAATCGGAGCCACTCAGCCACAAAAGTTGGCCTTTTTTTTTGCGCTGAAGCCACTGAAGTAGCGAAAGTTTTTTTCTCGCTTCAAAACTTATTGAAATTTGTTTTTTGTTGTATTTTTTTTTATTTTTGCTTTTCTGATTCGCTTCTATCCCACTTCGATCGCCACTCGACGACGCATCGTAATTTTACTTTCTTTTGATTTATATTATTTGGGGCTACTTTTTGGCGGCTTTTTTGTGGGTCTTTCTGTTGGTTAAGGTTTTGTTGTTTGTGTTTTTTTCTTTTTTATTTTTTGTATTTTTTTTTAACAGTAATGGAAACAAGGCTGATGACAACCACAATAAATTGTGTGGCACTGTTTACATTTACAACGTTTACGTGGTGGGATTTGGGTTTGATTTTTTGGGTTTGGGGGCTTGTTATACAGGGTGTTTGTACTTTGATTAAAGAACACAAATTTCAAATAAATTTTTCATTAATAATATAAATAAAATTTATAAAAATGTATATTAATTTATTAACTTTTTTATACCAAAAACGAACCAAGCTCATAAACCCTCAGAGAAACCCATGAAGCTGTCTGAAGTTGCAGAGTTTAACGAGTCAGGGACCACATACTCCTCCTCCATCCCAACCATAACCATTCGCACGTGTCCCGGCGAGTCGTGAGTCATATTAAGTAGCCACATCCTCTACTTGATCATTAAAGGCAAACTTGCGAGGCTGCGGAGGCGGCGCCGTTGCGCCTGCGCCATTCGGCTGACCGACAATTGATGGATGCCCTGAATGGTTGTTAAAGAAATATTAAAAAAAAAAAAGGGTAGAGTTTAGAGGGTCATTAGTATGCACACACATAGCACTTGGCATATTAATTGTCCGCGTAATGTTGCAAGCAGATGCAGATGCAGATGACGAGTTACATGAAGTCACCTCCAGTTGGGCACCGGAAGGAGGTCTTCTAGCTGATGATGATGAGGAACTAATGCCAGCACGTCGCAATCTGGGCAAAGGTGATGCTCATTTAGACGGTTTTAGAAAAATTTCTTTGGGTTTCTTTAATGTATATTAATTTAAAAATTAGATAAATAATTTTAAATCATAGAAAATGTATTTTTAATCATAGAAAATGTATTTTAAATCATAGAAAATGTATTTGAATTAAATATATAAAGTATTTAAATGCATTAGTTAGTCTTAAATAAGTTGGTGATGTATTAAGTGAGCATTCTAAATTGTTTTAAAAATACTTTTAAGGTCTGTAGATTTTCTTCTATTTTTCTATAATTTTTTATGAATCTTTATTAGAGTTTTTAATAGATTTAACTACATTTTAACAATCTACATTCTTTTTAAAAGTTTTTAATATTAAGGTAACATGCCAAAATATTTTAAAAATATTTTCCAACAACTTTCTATATATTTTAAATGCTATTTCTATTTCTTTTTAATATTTTAAATTCCTTTAAAAATGTTTTAAGGTGCTGCAAATTTTCTACGTTTTTTCCTACAACTCTTACCTTACTTTTAATTGGTTTTTTAGCCCTCTTTAGTTAACTTTTACCATTTTATTTAAACAAGTAAATGCCCCACATCACTGGTGGGCATGTGAGCCCATCAAAGACCGCATCCGATCCAGGGCCCAACCGCAGAGCACGCAGTTAAAACAAAGTGCCATTTGCATAATGCCCGGCTAGACAAAACCGAATGGAAAATACTGGAAAAAAACCAATGCTCTTGGCATGTGTGAGTAGTACATCTATGGCCAGATGGGAGTGGGTTTATTTACGAGCCTGGACCTGGACCTGCACTTGGCGACGCAATTATGCAAGAGCCACTCTCCATGCCGCCACGGAGGAAAAACGTGACCACCAACGGAGCGACAGAGTGACTGACTGCGTCCTCATCCTCTGACTCTGACTCTGCTGTTGGGGAAAATATGTTAATTGGCATTGTAATATGCACATTAGATGTTGCCAACTACTAAGCGCTCATTAAACAAGCCAGCCCAGGCCCAGGCTCGGCCAATTACTGCCGCAGGTAAAGTCGCCAAGGAGGGCCGGACAGGTGATAAATTGAGGGAATCGGAATTGATTATGAAACCAGATTGAAGGCGCCATATTAGTTGTATCTTTGTGAATTAATTGCACTTAATTGGGGAGTGGAAAAGGAAGGTAGGAAAGGGTTTATTAAGATTTAAATTGAATAAAGTTATTCTAGAATATTAAGAGTTTGCAAGTACTCCACAATTTCTTTTAAGATTTTTCTGTGTAATTTTAATTTGAGTTTTTGCTTTTAGAGCAGGCTCTGCCCCTTTTCTTTGACACCTGTCACCTGTTTCATACAACCCAAAAAACCTAAAATCATCAGTTAACCATCACTCGTTCTATAAACCAGACCTAAATGGAATAGTTCTATGTTTTTCTCGCATTTCTCCCGTTCTAAATTTTCAAGTGTTTGTGATTCCAAAATTGTTTTTGTGTATTCGTTGTCTTAAAGCAAAAGTAAGTTTTTTTTAAATAAAATTCCCTAAAACTGTAGAAGTTAAGCCTCTACCAATTGCAGATGTTTCCCTATAAACCCAACATTTTGGCCAAAACCAACGAAGGATCTCCAGAGGAGAGCTTCAACGGAGATCAATTAACAGCTACTCTTCCTTGTGGCTGTTGCGGCCCCCAGCAGGAGATTCAAGGAAATGTGAGAAAAACATAAACTAAGTTAACTTTGAAAAAGAAAACATGGCCAGTACAAAGATCGTTTCTGGTCATATCAAAAAGAAATACAGATACATTTCATTTAGTTACTTGGACTCCTTAAAACACCAAAAGGATTCCTATTACTTGGACTCTAAATATGCTTGCAGGATTTACTCGGATTCTCATTAACTAGGCTGTTTACTCGGATTTTCCTCTAATTCAAGGACTTGACTTCACTCGCCACATGTACATATATAAGTTGCAGATAGTTGGGAATATTCCAGTCACCAACAAGAAAATATATTATATTCTATATTGCCCGTATGAATTTACAACTACGATAACTGACCTTTCAAATGGATTTCAGAACTTTATGATTATTAGTTGAATTATTATTAAAATAGCCATTGCCTCACAGTTTAATTGTTTATAATTTTGATAATCCTGGGGAGGGGAAAAGCACTTCTCAGAGTGAAACTATAGATCAAAAGGTCTGGCAGAAATTTCCTAGAAAATCGAACTGCAACTTGGTCACAGTTAAGGATAAAGGAATGGCTCTGGTTCCCTATTAAATAGCTTTAAATCCAAGCCCTTACTAATTAACATTTATGTGTTTTCCCCAAACCATCTCTAAATTTCAGTTGTGTCTTTAAGGTTGTTTTTAATTCCCTACAGTAAAAAAAAACCACAAAAAACAATTACAAAATTGTTGGGCAATGGCTGGCGGGCTGACACATGGCCCCTGACCCCCTTGACCAGCGGCAACAACGAGCACATGAAAATGGAAAATGGAAAATTTTTCACAGACAGTTGGGTGCGTGTAAAAAATTTCACTTTTGATTTATGCGCGACGCGTGGAAAGGTGTTGCCCGGATAACTCTGTTTGCCTTTTACATTTTTGTATCTCTTTTTTTTTGGGGGGGAGAGAACCTGGGAGCAATAATAAAATTGATGGAACGGATAGAAGTGGATATTGCAACATATTTGCATAGACAACCATTAGGACAACGAGCACCATTCAGCCAGTGAGCCACTCAGCCATGAATGTGGCTATTACACCGAATAGATTATGTTTTGCTATGCACGTTGGCCGTTGGCTGTCATAAAATTTTATCTACCAAGTTAATTAAACCGGCAGTTAGCCGGGAACTATCCTATCCCAGCCGGGCTCCTGTTCATTTGCAGTTGAAAATTTAATTAGTTATTCCATTTGCGCGGCAGCCAAAGAGAGAGAACGTTTCATTTTCCTACCAACCACTTACCTTTCCTTGCCAGCATGAAAAAGTGAAGGTGCAAAATCCTAAAAAAAATGTCTGATGGTTTCCTTTGGATCAAGAGAGTTTCCACACCTCGGCCGGGGGGAAAATCACCAGCAGAATCGCATCAAGACTCACGCAAAGGCAATGGCAAGCGTCTCAAGTTGCCAGGCACGCGATGCCACATTTTTTTTGAGGTGAACCCACTACGATTATGACCTGTACTTGTTGAAAGAGGTTTCCACAACAACAAAAAGTACAACAAAAAACAGCTTAAAAATGTGTAATGATTTTTTCGGGCATGCTCAACATACTTGCAATAATTTGCATGCAATTCTCGAGCGGCATGCAATGGTTGCTTGGCACGCAAGGCCTTATAATGGATTAATTACAGGGTAATGCGATTCCCGAAACGTCAGAAATTGAGCTTTGCTTTTTATATTATTTTTTAATAAAAGAAAAATTAATAAAAATACAGAAAAGATTCCCTTAAAAATTAATAGGTTTATTTAACGCGAATGTTTGCTAAACCTTTACTATAATTTACAATGCCTCTAAGTACTTCCAACTTACCAACCAATTAGCCTTCCCAAAAGCCTTACATACTTAGCCACTTTCGAGCGCTTGTTTGGCCAACATAAAACCTCCAGAAGGGCCCCAATTTCAACCTTGAAAATGGGTATATTTATTTTTTAAATGCTCTTGTAACCCCCAGACGTTGACCATTCCCAATAAAATTAAATTCGTATGCTGGCGACAGGTGATTCAGATTTTCGACTTTGGGAACTTGCCCTCGTTTTCACCGATTGCATATTTTATGCTTCCCATAACGACTCATTAATTCTATGGGAATGGAGTCGTAAACAAGGCCGTCAAAACTGACCCGTTATTACACGAAATGCGGGAGAGAGGAATATAAATAAATCGGTGCCATAAAAGCCATGTTTGTTGACATATTTAAATGATGTAAAAATTGAATAATAAAACGAACCAAAATGACCAATAATCCATAAAGAGAATCGGTGATCAAGAAGAGCAAAGTGGCTTATTAATATGGGTACCTAATAAGCTAAGAAATTAGTTTATATTTTATGTGAGATGTTAGATTTAACTCTGATTTAATTTTAATACAAAGGTTAGCTGTGTAATTTTATTTTAATTAAACTTAAAGCTGAAGAAAGATATACACTTTTGTAAAAGAAACTAAGAACAGCACAAGTTATTTTAGGTTTACTTACGTACTTAGAAAGTCTATATAAACACGTAATGCATATAGATTTATAGCTCAAAATCCATTATTAATGCTTACTCAATTATCAATTATAATTCAAGCTTCATTACAGCCAAGTCCTGCATTTAATTGGATTTCTCCGACAGAGGCTGGAATATACACAAATCTCCGGAGGCGTTAAATCTATATATTCATTCCATTGTAATTGAAATAATCATACGAAAATTTGTCTAATTTGTGGTCTTGTTCCCTACATAATTTAGGCTACCAGACGGAATCTCTGTCCGCCCAGTCAAGCGGCCATTTGCTGGTTCCATGCGCATTTTCTTCATCAATGATTAATTGTTTTGACAATGTTGCAGCCATGTACCAGGCTCTCCCTCTCCCTCTTGTCTGGACCTGGTTCTGGTCCTGGCCCTGCTCTCTGGTCTCTGGTTCTCGATGTGGTGAAATATTCCGCGTGGCCTCCGTCGCTGGTCCATGTCACATTTGTGGCCTGGCACTGACGAATGTCCCCAAATTGATGTATGATTTTGGCAGCGATGCCAAAAACCTGCACCAACCGCCTGGGCAGTCGGTCTCTCCAGTTCTCCCTGCCCTCTCTTCTGGGGAAGATTTAGTGCAGGGCTTTGGCTTTTGTGGAGCATTTTTGGTCAGATATGATATATCTCTCTGCTGAGTAAAGTTGCAGCGTGGAGTTTATAGTGCAGGGATTATTGATTTTTGAAAAGTAAGGGCTTTAAACGAAACTAGAACTATCCCTTAACCCCAAACAAATGTCACCCACAGGTACTAGTTTGATTTCCTTTCACACTTTTCCCTTCTGTTTTCCCTTAGTTAAATCTGCCTTGGAACAATTTCCTTTTAAATTAAACTTAAAAATAAACAAACTGAACCGAGCCTGGGGGCTGGAAAACAGTTTAGCTTTGGTGAAAGTCGTAAAACTTTCACTTGACCCTTGTCAAGCAGCTGGAGGGTGAAGGTATCGGGTTCGAGTGTTGTAATCAACAGCAAAATTGGCACCAGTCAACCGAACTCCTCCCCGGAAATACATTCTTACTACCTCCTCCCACACACCCCCCTTTATCTGTGTCAGTGTCAGCATCGTTTACGCTTAACTTCCTGCAGGATCTCTGTGTTTTTCGGGTAGGGGTGGCTAGCCTTGACCAACTGCCCTGAGTCAGAGGATTGTTCTGGCTCTCTGCTGTCGCTGATAAGTCGCCAGGTTCAATAAATCGTCGCCTTAACCAAAAAATACATGTATATAATATATTTAGTTGGTTGTTAGATAGTTGCAGTCACCGGGAATCCCCCATTATGAATCGGTGGAAATCCAAACATATGACCCCATGTAATCGTTGGCCATTTACTTTATCATTTAGCAACATAAATTAGGAACTAAACGGTTCAACTAAATGCAGACTAACGTGCGTGTTTTGCATTTCATTAAATTATGCCAGTGCACAGGGGGAAATTGTGGGTGAGTTTATGTTGTGGAGAGTAGAAGTTGGAGTGCAAATAAAGCTATTACATAACTAAATTATAGCTGTATTATTTTTAAAATATATTCTTAATATTTTTATAATATATTTTTTATCTCAAATAATTTTCTCTCTGCTCTAAAGGGAAATGCTAATTAAGTGGAATGCAGAGTTGGCGCCACATGCCAAATATTTGCCACAGCTGACACCAGTGGGGGTCACTGGGAGTACGTGCTGGTTAATTAAGCGGCAATCCAAATGCATTACATGTCCTTGCCGCCCAGGTGCCATATCTATTAGGGAGAGGGAGAGAAAGGACCAACTCAAGCTGGAACAATTTACGTGACAAATAACTGAAATTGAAATGCATTAAAGAACCTTCTTGTCCCTTTAAGTCATTTGTGAACTCCATTGTGCGACTTTACACACCTCGACAGGTATCTGGCGAGATCCTACCTATCCGTTCTGAGGTTTATATACCGTCCAATGACATTCAACAAGGACAGTTACGCTTCAGAATTTACAAAATTTTTTTACCATTTGACAATTCCATAGACTCTGCAGATCAAATATGCACTGTCCTGTCCAACTAACACAATTTTTCACACCTCCTGGGCAGTTCTTATCCTTATTTATAAAATATATACATACTTGGTACATGTATCCACCAATGACCGGGTCACTAGAGTGGCAAAAAATGTAGACATTTTCTTTAGAGCAAGTCATGCATTCCATTTCCTATTTACATTTATCTAACTCTCGCCAAAAAAAAAAAAGAACTAGAAGCTATCTTTGGGAAGCCGAAGTGTGTATACCCTTCAAATTATTTAAAAATAGGAGAAAAATTCTTTAATTTCACTTTAGAAAGATTTTTTGCCCTAGTTTTTATTATCAAGGTTATCAAGTCGGTATATTTAATTTAAAATTTCTGAAAATAAATATTTTTATTTAATTTTAAAACCGATTAACGTGGCTAGATTGAATCGCCTGTTAATGCTGATCCAGAATATATATGACTTATGGGGCCTGAAATGACTTCTTCTATTTGTTAACAAACTTCTTACTTACTCTACCAAAAATAGAAAAAAATTTGTAAAGGCAAAGAAACGGATTTAATGGAAAACGATGATGCCCCAGGGTTGTTGGCCCCGTCGCTGCGGCGCCTGGCAACCCTGGTCGGCGCCAAACACCCAAAATTCCGCTCCGCATTGCGTTGCGTCCGTTTTTATTGCATGTGATGGCTTAATTTATTTGTGTATATATATTTAAAACAAAAAAAAAAATAGTGTTTACAGGGTAGACGAAGGTATATGCGAGTTTATTTAAATGTTTATATTGTTATAGAATTATATAAAGTATTTTCAAAAATTATTTTTAACTAAATCAGCTATAAAATAATCTTATTTGGTTCCAAATAAATTAATAATCCTTAATTATATTGCAAACTGTTAACATCTATATAAATATTCAAGTAAACTTTATTTCCAGGACATTAAAATCATCATCAAATCATCATTAAAATCAATCATATCTCCTAGTCTGAGCCTTTTTTGTGGCCTTTTTTATTCGTTTTCGGCTTGGTTCTCTTTGGGAGCTGACCAAATGGTGCCAACTAGACGCGATGCGCCAGAAACTGTTAAACGTTTGCCAACTTCAATGTGGCATTTTCCGGATAACGCTGCGTATGCGTGATTTGTTTTTAAGTCCGAAAAGCTAATATACCGAAAAAGATGGCACAAACTAAATCAAATAAACCAATTAAAAATCAAATAATGCTAAAAGGAGTGCCAAATATTAAACAATTTAAATAATTCCAAAGTATCTAGCATTTGTTTGGATTTATTTAAATTTCAATGCACTTGCAGTGCTCAACAAAAAAAAACTGTAACGAATCCACGTAACCATAAATCATTCAACTTAAATCCCTGTAACAAATTCGTATGCACGCAAATCAATTGTTCAATTGTTTTCCCGAAAAGGAAAATAAATAAAATATAAGCCCAATGCTGTTAGGGATACCACGGCAGGATATGGGTGAGCTGGCGTGGAGGGGAAGGACATAGCGCGTAGGGACAACAAACAAGTTGGCGGCCATAAATAAATATCGCATAAGCCCAGAGACCAACATAGAATATAAATTTTCACTCTGCCAGTCCCCCTGCCCTACCCCTCTGTGTCTCTTTGTAATACAATCAACTTAATTTTGTAAAAATTCAATTTAAATAATGCCGCGTGGATCTATATAAAAAAAAATATATATATTTTCCTGCGAATATTTATCTTTAGTTGTGTTTCTGTGGCTGTGCGAATTCAATTGTCTGGATTTAGTTTTTAAACGACAGATGGTGGCTGTTTTAAAAGGGTCTTAGGTTTTTAGTACGGGAAAAGTGCTTTAAAAAATTGTATAAAAATATTTTAAAGGACTCCAAGAATTAGTTATATGCCTAAATATTACTTTATTTATTTAAACATATTTAATTCCCTTATAATTATAGTTTTTTATTCCCTTTTTAGTGCCTCTTCCTTCTCATAAAATTTCCTCATTTAATTGTCCCCTTAAAAATTTTTTAAATTAATGCTCTGGCTATAATTAAATTGAATTTACTGCTTGAATAATTTTAATTTCCTTCGGCCACGATGCGCGTCCAGCGCCAAAACTAATAAGGCGCCAGAGACACGTACACGTACACCTCCTGAAGATGACGAGTGGGATTCCCAAATACTATATATGTACACCGTATATATATATAATCATGTTGCACCGTCAAATCTGCTGTCTGTCTTCTCCTTCTGCCACACATGTGTTGCAATCTCCTCGTGCCAGTTGGGGCAGAAGCGAACAAGTGCTGCGGAAATTACATTGAATGGGGGAATATTGTGTACTTTAAGTCAGGCGTTTATATTTATTTGGAGTGCTGAATGGATTTAATTATTTCATTTGAATTATTTAAGTCTTGGGTTTATTTATTAAAGGACTTAAAAAGCTTTTAACTGAGGTTTAGTTCCGAGCTTATTTTATTTAAAAAAGTTCTACCAAATTTAAAATTTTAAGAAATCAAAATGTTTGGCCATTTTTGCTTATTTTAATGATGTAACCCCTTATTATTATTTCGCAAAAATGGCCAAAAAATCGATTTCTTCCGGACATATCTAGAAAGATTCCCCTGTTGATGCTGATCAAGAATATATATGGTTTATGGGGTCGGAAAGGTCTCCTTCACTGCGTTGCAAACTTCTGACTGAATTTATATTACCCTGCAAAGGTATAAAAATAGGAATATTAAGGATTTTGTTTTATTGAAATTCTAATTATTACTTTGGGCTCATAATTATTTCAACTTTATTTTAAATTTTCCCTGCAATTGATACATATTTTCCCACCCACCACGATCCTGGACTGCAATTAATTTTCCCCTCAAACATTTTAATCAAATGACAAAAACCAAAAATAATTTATTTCGTGGCTCATAACTCTCTTGGCCTTCGAAGCTGGAAAGCGGTTTATTAAATTTTATTTGCTCTGTCGCTCCAGAAAACAGGCTCTGTGCTTTGGCAGCAGTTTGGCCAAAAACTAATAGATTTTAAAAGCGGCTGTCGCTGTCAGCAAGCCAGCGAGAAAATTCGAGGGGGAAAATCGAGTTGGGCGACGTGATGATAAACGCTGCAAAATAAATTGGTCAACTTGCTGTTTGGGTTAACGGCCAGTCAGTTTGTTGTGACAGCTGCCAGGCGATATGGTGAAGAAAAAAATATGTTAAAAGTAGCAACAGGTTGATCAATAAATAAATTAAACATAGACATTCTGAGTAATTAAACTTGAAGGGTGCTTAAAGTAGGTAAGTTGTATTTCTTAGAGGGTTAGTTTATTGTAAACTACCAGAACCCTTAAGTTTATGTCACAATAAACTAGTAAATAAAACCTTAAAGAGATATTGAAAGCTATAAAATAAAAAGAATATAACAAGCACTTTCATTGGTATAACTCCCCCCCATCAATAAGTTCATTTAATACCCATTACTCAGGGTCTCCCTTTCCACTTTCCACTGTCTTTTCTTTCCGCCTACACATGTCTCTGTGGCCATTCTTGTGTAATTTGCCATTAAATCGTTGTCAAACCACTTAATTGCCGGCCATAAATCTTAAAACGCAATTGCTTATCGTTCGGCCAGCAATTAAAACGAAATCAAATGGTCTGCGACAAGTTTTTCTGGGAATCCCAGTACTATCTTGATATATGCTATAGTACATGTCATTTTCTTTGTTTTCAATTTGCTTTAAATTCCACTAAAGACAAACATCGCCTCGCATTTGCTTTCTGCATTTGCATTTTATTTCCAATGGCTGCGTTTTGCAATTTCTTGGCAACTTTTTACCCTCGTCCATTGTTTTTTTTCGGAGGCAATTTCACTTTTCAACTTTATTCAAGCGAAAAATTGAGGTGGAAAAGGGGGAGAAAGAAAAATTCTTCGTCTGGCATCTCTCAGCGGACTAAAGGTGTAGAAACTGAAGGAGTTTTGAGGCTAGACAGGCGTTAAGACTACACAGGAAACAAGGAATATGGAAGAAGGTTTGAAGGAGGTAAGACTTGGGAGACGTTCTGTTCCCCTTTTAAAACCCTCAAATATCGTTTATAGTTTTCGTTTTGGTTTATTTAGATTGTTCGAGGTCCGGAAGAGAAGCCTCTATCGTCAGCACAGCAATCTAATTACATAAGCGTACGCTACTATATAAATCTACTTAAGTATACATGGAAACAGTGGGCACCTCCTCCTCCTACAGCCGCTGAGTGTAGCTGATGCACCAGGCCAGCAGCAGGGTGAGACCCAGTCCCAGACCAGACAGGGCACCGGTGGAGCCCGTGAGCTCGACGGTGTTGCAGCCATCCGTGGAGCACTTCTGGCAGTGATCCTCGCTGTCGATCTCGCACTCCAGCTCGCTGGCACAGCCTCGTCGCAGGAGGCCGTCGTTGTACGAAGTCACGCATACATCGTCCTGGGCATAAATGGGACACACGGCCTCGTGATTGGGTTGCTTGGCACAATCCGGATTGGCGGTGGAGTTGCAGATGTGGCAGCGCCTGCGATTGCTGGGGAAGACTTGGTCATTACACTTGTCGCCGGGGCAGACCGAGCAGCTGCCATTGGCCGTGCACGCGTCACTGTCGGTGCTGGTCAGGGCACTCTTGCACCCGCGGATGGTGTTTCCGTTTTCCAGGCGGGTTATGCACTCCGAGTTGGGGGCATGGCAGGTAATGGAGGAGGTGACACTTGAGGGATCCTGGGCGCACTCTAGCGACTTGCTGGAGTCGCAGGACAGACACTCGCCCTCGCTGGGCAGGCGGCTGAGGTCGTTGCACTCGCTGCCCTGGCAGGAGTAGAGCTTGTTCTCCTCCTGCCACTCCTCCAGGCTGGAGCTGTTCTGGCTGCTGGCGCAGCCCATCAGCTCGACGCCGCCGTTGGTTCCGTACTTGGCAAAGCAGTAGTCATCCGACCTGTAGGCCAGGCAGACTTGGGACTTGCTGCTGGAGCAGCTGGCATCCGCGCAGCTGTGGCAGCTCAGCCTGTCGGCGGGATAGGAGAAGGTGTTGCAGCCGGCTCCCGAGCAGGAGGCACAGTTGGTGCCGCTCTCGTCGGTGGAACAGTCACTACGATCGTACAGCTCCTTGTCGTCCAGACAGGATCGGACGAGGTCCTCGCCACTCAGCGCCACCAGGCACTGGCCCTTACAGTTGCGCTTGCCCAGAGCCGTCTCGGTGGGATCCGTGATGCAGGTCTCGTTGTTCGCAGAGTTGCAGAAAGTACAGCTCACGAATTCGGAAGTGGCCCAGGCATCGTTACACTCGTTGGATTTGCAGGTGAAGCACAGCTCCGGGTTCTTTCTGCAGTACCGATCCTCGTAGTCGTCCACATCGTCCGAGCATCCTCTCCTGCGCACAGTGACGCCGTCCTCGTCAAAGACAATCTTACAGTCCTGTTCAATGTTGGGGGAGCAGGTGACAGCAGGTCCCAGCGAGCTCAGGCAGTGCTCGCCCACGCAGGTGTGGCACTTGAGAGGAAGGGTCTGGTAGGCTCCATGCCAGCCATCATCCTGGCGATTGGCCAGGTCGATGGCATTACACTCGCTGCCGGAGCAACTGCGGCAGTTGCGGTAATCACTCGAGTCGCATTCAACGCTGCTGCTGCAGCCACGAGTGGTCACATTTCCGGAGAGGAAGGTCTTGCAGGTCTCCGTCTCGCTGACCCAAGGACAGGCCAGCGTGTAGCTGGGATCGGACTCGCAGGTGGAATCATCGGCGGAGGTGCAGGAGTAACAGACTTGGCGATCGGCAGGGAAGACCTGGTGAGGGTTAGAAAAAGTTATTCCAGATGGGTTTCTTTGGGGGTTTAATAATGGGTAATTACCTCGCGATTGCAGCCATCAGTTGAGCACACAGTACAGTTGGCATCATTACCCAGGAGGCAGGAGACAAACGGTGTCTGGTCCAGATCGTAAAGGCAGCCACGGTTGGTGGAACCATCTTTAAAGAAAAAGATAAAGGAGTTCAATTTGAAATTGTGATGATGCGTCCCGCCGCCCAGATAACTCACCGTCCTCCAGCTTGGTGAAGCATCCCGTGTGCGGCATCTGGCTGCAGGTCTGGAAGCTGCCCACTGACTGGGCATCCGTGGCGCAGGTGGGATCCTCTCGAGAATCGCAAACAGCACAACGCACCGGTGTTTGGAATGTGGGAACATTACAGTTCTCGCCCTCGCACACAGCAATGCGCTTCGTCTTCAGGATACTCTCCAGATCCTGGTTACGGAAGGAGCTCAGGCAGCCCAGCTGCTTCAGGTTATTGTCCTCATCCACCCACAGGAAGCAGCTGTCCTGCTCCTTGTAGATCAAGCACTGCTCCGGCTGCGGATCCTCGCAGTCATCACCATCGCAGGTGTAGCAGCTCAGGCGATCCGCCGGCAGGCTGTCCGAGTTGCAGGAGTCATCGTTGCAGGCGGAGCACGAGGAGTCGCTGCCGCTGGCGCAGGTCAGCTGATCCGCCTCCTCCTTGTCATCCAAACAAGTGCGAATAAGATCTAGTCCAACCGAGCTGCTTCCATACAGAGCAGTCATGCATTGGCCTTGGCACTGGCGAGTCCTGTGGCTGCCACTGGTGGGATTGGATATGCAGGTTGAGTCCTTGTAGGAGTCGCAGTAGATGCAGGTCCTGTACTGGCTAAGAGAAGTGGCATTGTTGCAGTTGTTGGACTTGCAGGAGGGGCAGCTGGCGGCATTGGAGCCGCACCAGGTGGCAATCGAAGTCTGCGCCTCGAGGGCATCTTGGCAGCCGCGCTGGATGACCACCCCGTCGGCATTGAAGACGGTCAAGCAGGGCTGCTCATTGTTGTTCTGGCACTTGACCGAGGGAATATTCGCCGCCTGGCAGGCCTCGTCGCCTTCGCAAGTGAGACAGGTCAGCGGGAGGTCTTGCCACAAGCCATTGTTGTCGTCCGCCTTGGCATCGAGATCCACCTGGTTACAGCCATCGCCCTCGCAGTGGACACAGGTCTTGGCATTCTCCTCGCAGCTCAGCGAGGAGGAGCAGCCCCGGTAGGTGACTCCATTGCGGTAGTTGGTCACGCACTGGTCATCTTCTTCGTACAGATAGCACACGGTGAGGCTATCAGGAGCGGAGCGGCAGGTGGCGTCCGTGTTCGAGTTGCACACGTGGCAGGAGCGGCGGTTGGCGGGATACAGCTGCTTGTTGCAGGCGCTGCCCTGGCAGGCGGAGCAGCTCGTGGAGGTACCATTGTAGCAAGAGAGGAAGTCATCGTCCTCCAGGTTGGAGAGGCATCCCCTCTCCGTGCTGCCGTCGGACAGAACCCGGGAATAGCAGTCGGGGAAGCCGGCAAGCCCACACTCCGTGGAGCTGGCCACGCTGGCCGGGCTGATGGCACACGAGGCGTCCGTGCGGGAGCTGCAGATGGCACAGCTCTCGCTTTCGGGTATGGACTCCAGGGTATTACAGTCGCCGTCGCTGCAGGTCAGCAGTCTCTTGGAGCGCTTCAGCTGGTAGATGTCCTCGTGGCTCAGCTCACTCAGGCAGCCCAGCGCGGACACCGATTGCTCCTCGTCGAATTGGATGTAGCACTCGTCGTTCTCCCTGTAGTTGGCGCAGCTGCTGGCCTCCGACTTCTGGCAACCATCGCCCTGGCAGACCAGGCAGCTCTGCCGGCTGGCCACCAAATCCTCCGAGTTGCACTTCGCGCCCTCACAGGTGGCACAGAACTTCTTGCTGCCCGCGGTACAGGCATCCCGATCCTCCTTCTCCAAATCGTCATAACAATTACGCACCAGGGCGTAGCTGGGATCATCAGTCTCCCCGAAGAGGGGCAGGAAGGCGGAGACACAGCGCTCGTGGCACTGCCGGGTCTTGGTGATCTGTGAGGGATCGTTCACGCAATTGGAGTCCTCGCTGGAGTCGCACACAATACACTGGACGTAGTTGTCCAGGGAGTCGGCGGTGTTGCATCCGTTGGAGTTACAGCGTGGACAGGATGTGGGATTCTCGTCGCAGTAAGTGGAGGCGGCAAACACGGGGTCAGAGCAGCCGCGTTGGCTGACCACTCCGTCCTCCCCGATGACGGTCACGCAGTTGTCATAGCCCGAGCACTCGGTGAGGGTGCCTCCGCCCGAGGCGCAAGCAGTTCCAGAGCACTCAAGACACTTAATGGGCGTCGGTTGCCAGATGCCCGGGAAGCCATCCTCGCCGATCTTCTCCAAGTTAGCGGTGTTGCATCCATCAGCCGAGGAGCAAACGCGGCAAGTAAGCGGATCCGAGGGATTGGAGCAGCTTAGCGTGGAGTTGCATCCGCGGTAGGTGACACCATTGACCAGGGTGGTCACACAGGACTCGTCCTTGGAGTAAATGGGGCACACGGTGCTGGTCAAGCTGGAGGGTGAGGTGGCGCAGTTGGCATCGGTTGAGGAGTCACACTGGTAGCACTTCCTGCGATCCGCCGGGAACACGCTCAGCCCGTTACAGCGATCGCCCGTGCAGGTCTCGCAGAGCTCACCCTCGCCTGCCTGGCACTCGTAGAACTCATCGCCGCCCAGGCTGGATAGGCATCCCCTGAAGGTATTGCCCCGACTGTCGATCTGGGTCACACAAGCCGTGTAGGGCAGCTTGGAGCAAATGTCGGTGGTGAGCAGCTGATTGGGATTGGTGGCGCAGCGCGAGTCCTCCAGGGAGCTGCAGGTCAGACAGGTGTTGGGATCGGGCGTCGAGCTCTGGGTATTACAGTTTGGTCCCGAGCAAAGGACAATACGCTGCTGGGCCACCAGCTCCTTGATCACCTGGGTCTCAAAGTCACTGGCGCAGCCCATGGCTACCACGCTGTTTTCGTCGTAGGCCATGTAGCAGTGATCCTCCTCCCTGTAGGCCAGGCACTTGGTGCTGACCACGTCAATGCACTCGGAATCGGTGCATATGAAGCACTCCTGCGGGCTCTCAATCACATCCTGGTCGTTGCACAAGGATCCGGTGCAGGCGGTGCAGTTGTCATGGGTTCCCGCGGCGCACGAGGTGCGCTCCGCCTCGCTCAAATCATCCAGGCAGCCGCGAGTGGGCAGCAGGGCCGAGTCCCAGGAGGAGCTACGCGGGTACATTCCCGTCATGCACTGACCCAGGCACTTCCTGGTCGTCGTAGGCTTCTCCCAGGCACAGGTGGAGCTCTCCTCCGCGTCGCAGAAATAGCAATCGACATAGGCATCCAGGGACAAGGCACTGTTACAGCCATCCGACTTGCACTGTAGACAGCTGTCCGGGTTAGAGTCACAGTAATCGATATTGGCCGCCTGGACAGAGTCACTGCATCCGCGGGCCACCACTTGACCCTCGTTATTGAAGACGGTGGAGCAGGTCTGCTTGTTGTTGCCCTCGCACTTGGTGGGCTCGCCACTGATCGTGGCACAACTGGCAGCATCGTCGCAAGTATAACAGCTCAGGGGCAGATCGGTCCACTTGCCGGGCTCTCCTACGTACGAGGACGAAAGATCCACGACGTTACAATCGGGTCCGGAGCAAACGCGGCAGCTGCCGGGTTGAGAGGCATCGCAGTTCAGCTCCGACTGACAGCCGCGACGAGTGCGCCCCTTGGACAGGCTGGTGACGCAGGCATCGTCCTCGGAGTAGGTGCGGCAATAACTGGAGTAGGTGGAGGGAGCCGAGACACAGTCGGCATCGCTGGAGGAGTCGCAGCGCAGGCAGGTCAGCCAGTCTGAGGGATACAAAACCGTGTTGCAGTTGTTCACACTGCAAACGGTACAATTGGAGCTGCCGGAGCTGGAGCACTCATCGAAGACGGCGTCATCCGTGTCCATGAGACAGCCGCGCTGCAGGACGCCATCTGGAAGGAGTCAAGGGTGAGTAAACGATTAGGGAATAACCAAATAGGTCTCACCTTCATTCAGGTAGCTATAGCAATCCGGGTAAATGGAGTGCTGGCAAACAGCTTTCAATGATCCGCCTGACTCCACGCACAACTCATCCTCGATGGAGTTGCAGATGTTGCAGGAAACGCCTGGCTTCAGCTTGTCCTTGGTGTTGCAATCATCGCCGGAGCAGAAGTACAGATCACGGCGATTGGCTAGCAGGAAGGTCTCCGCCAAGTCGGTGACACAGCCCATGGCCTTTACGTCCTGATCGTCCACATGGATGTAGCACTGATCTCCGGACCGATGGCCCACACAGAGCTGGCTGCCCAGGGTTTCGCAGGCGGAGTCCTCGCAGAAGTTGCAGCTAAGACGATCCTCCGGGACATCAGCCTTGTTGCAAGAGGCACCCGAGCAGGAGACACAGTTCTCCAAGGTGCCTGCCGCACAGGCCAGCCGGTCATCATAGTCCAGATCATCCAGGCAACCACGGGCCAGATCCAGCACGGGATTAGCCTCCGAACGGTTGCGAGGATACAGACCGGTGAAGCAGCTGCCCTGACAGGACAGAGTACGAGTCACTTCGCCCACTTGGCGGACACACTCCGGTCCGTCGCTGGCATCACAAAGCAGACAGTCCACATAGGTGTCCAGCTCCTTGGCATTGTTGCAGCCGGAAGACTTACAGAACTTGCAGTTGCCGGAGTTCTCGTCGCAGTATTGCAGCAGCTCCGCATCCTCGTAAAGGGTATCGGAGCAGCCGCGGAGAACCACCAAGCCGGACTCGTCGAAAACTGTGGCGCAGTTTTGCTCGTCATTTCCCACGCACTTCTTCAGAGCGCCCACGCTGGCTCCCTGGCAGTCGGTTCCATTGCAGGTGTAGCAGTTGACAGGAGGATTGGCCCAGTGGGTGGGATAGCCAATATTGGAGCTCTTCAGATTCGCCACGTTACAGTTGTTTTTGCCGGAGCACAGGCGGCAGTACTGCTTGTCCGAATCGTCGCAGGTGAACTCCCGCTGGCAGCCACGATAGGTTTCGCCGTCCACCAACTTGGCGCTACAGCCCTCGTTCTCCAGGTAGTACACGCAGGGTTCGCCAGCGTCCGGGGCGGAGGAGCAGGTGGGATCGGTTAGGGAGTTACAGCGGTGGCATTGACGCCTATCGGCGGGATAGATGCCCGCATTACAGTGGTCACCCTCGCACACCTCGCAGAGTCCAGTGCCCGCCAGGCAGGCGGTGAGCTGCTCACGGGGCAAGCTGCTCAGACAGCCGCGCTGGGTGATACCATCTGGAAAAGGATACAGGGGATGAATGAGTTTAGAGGCCAATTAAAAGGGTTCTGAACTCACTTGTCACCCGCGTCATGCAGCTGGTGTAGGGCAAAACTCCGCAATTTCCAATCAAAGTGATCTTGCTGGGATCTGTGACACAGTTGGGATCCTCGGAGGAGTCGCAGGCAATGCACTTGGTCGGCTCGGGCAAATCGGCAAAGGAATTGCAGTTGGAAGAGTTGCAGAAGAGCAGTGAGTGGAAGTTGTCATCCACGAACTCCTCATCCAAGTCAGACCGGCAGCCCATGGCCTGGATATCGGCCTCATTGTCCCACAGGATGTAGCAGCTATCCTCGCTGCTGTACTCACTGCACTGACTAGCAGATGGATCCTCACACTCGTCATTGCCGGAGCACTGGTAGCAGCTCAGTCGCTCCTCCTGCAGGTTGTCCACATTACAATTGGGGCCCGAGCAGGCCACGCACCGGTCATCGGTGCCGGCAATGCAGGTCTCCTGATCCGCCGGATCCTTGTCATCCAAGCAGCCGCGCACGGTATCGTAAACGGAGGTCAGGATGGATCTCCTGCGGAGGGCAGTCATGCACTGGCCATTGCACAGGCGACGGGTCTTGACATTTTCCGGATTCGTATCGCAGTTTTCGTTGTCGCGGTCGCAGTAGATGCATTCATTGTAGTTGTCCAGGGACCGGGCGGAGTTACACTCGTTGGAGTTACAGTTGTGGCAGCTGCCGCTGTTGGCATCGCAGTAGGTGCTCCAGGATTGCTCAACCACCTGGCTACAGCCCTTGGCGGTCACGACTCCCTCGGCATTGAAGACGGTCACACAATAGTCCGTGCTGCTGGCACAGGCGGTGGTTTCCAGAGATGCGCAGGCGGTGGTGTCATTGCAGGTCTCACAGCTGAGGGGCAGGGTCTGACCCCACAGACCAGGCTGACCATCTTCCAGTCTCTTGAGGTTGACTGTATTACAGTCGGCTCCCTCACACGTTTGGCACTTCCTGGAACTACTCGAGTCACATTCCAAGGAGGCACTGCATCCGCGAAGAGTGTTTCCCTCGATATCGATGCTGGTGATGCACTGCTGGCTGCTGGTGTGGAGCAGGCAGAGGGCAGTGGCGGAGGGCGAGGTCTCGCAGTTGTCATCCTCGCTAGAGTCACAGATCTGGCAGCTAAGGCGGTCAGCGGGTTGGAGCTGCCAGGATAAGAATTTATAAATATATCATCTTTATATAAGAAATAAAGCAAACCCACCTCCTGGTTACACTTCTCCCCCGTGCACCTTAGACACTCGTTCGAGTTGCTATCCCGCAGACAGTCCAGATACTCCTCACCCTCCAGGCTGGTGAGGCAGCCCCTCTCGGTGTGTCCATCCTCCAGGATTCTGGAGTAGCAGTCGCTGTTCACCTGGCTCTCGCATTGGGTCTCGGTGAGCACACTTTCGGGCGCCACGGCGCAGTCATCGTCTGTCCGGGAGCTGCATAGCGTGCAGGTCTGGGGCTTGGCCAGGGCAGATTCCACATTACAGTTGTCGCCGGTACAATACCAAAGCTGCTTGTTGGACTCCATTAAGGTCACGTCGCTCACATTGTACTGGCTAAGGCAACCCATCTCGTATATAGCGCCGGAGGCATCAAACTCGATGAAGCAGCTCTCGGCATTGTCGCCCGAGGGAACAGCTCGGCAGGTGGTGGACTGGGGACTGGAGCAGTCTCCCTTGCAGGAATTACAGCTGCCGCGGACACCTAGATCCACGGTATTACATCCGGCCGAGCTGCAGGCCACACAGTTATCTAAAGTGCCATCGGCGCAGGCATCGCGATCATCCAAATCCAGGTCGTCGATGCAGGTGCGCACCAGCTCTAGGGGAGCCCCCTCCTCACTGTTGGTGGGATACAGGGCTGTGATGCACTGCTGGTTACATTTCTTCTTCTCGGTCACCAGCTCAATATCAAAGACGCAGTTGTCATCGCTTTGGGCATCGCAAATGACGCATTCCAGCAGATTCTCATTGGTATTTAGGGAATTGCATCCATGCGACTTGCACTGGTAGCAGTTCTCCCCACTTTCTGAGCAGTCTGTCTCTAGGTTATCGCTGCATCCTCGCTGGATCACAGCTCCATTGGCATTGAAAATGGCCACACAGCTTTGGGCATCGTTGTTCAGGCACTTGCGCAGGGCTCCGGCTCCGGCAGAGCATTCTTCGAGGGTGGAGCACTCGTAGCAGTTAATGGGGCCCGAGTGCCAGTTGTGGACAAAGGCATCTGAAATTGGGAAATGGGTTGGGTTGGGAAATGATTTTAGATTTTAAAAGGAAGCCTACATACATATCGATTATTCCTATTCTATTCTTAAGAATTTTACCTTGTTCACACATAATCACTCACTATCCTCACAAAATCCCTAAGATTAGTCTTAAGCACTCAAAAGTCTGATCCTTCCTAGATAATACCTGGCATAAGTCCATAATTAATGGCACCAGTCGGCTCTGGTTACGTATTAAAGACTGTTTTTTTATGGGGCAACCAACCGGCAATCGAATTTGGCGATATTTATGACTCTCGATGTCCGTTGGCTGCCGTTACCGCATTGTCGCGATCTTTTCGACTCGTAATCTGTGGCTAATAAATTAATAATTGTTTTGTGGTGGGCCTATAAAAAATTGGGTAATTCAATGCCGATCGCGAGGGGCTTAATCTATATGGAGAAGCGTGTTCAGCCACAAAGTAATAAGGAAAAAAAAAAGGGAAAGTGGGAGAGAGTTCTCTATAAACTTCATTATATAACTAAAGAAAGTTATGATCTATACCTCTTAAAAGGACACTTAACTAAGCAATTATGAAAGGTAATTAAACCGATTTTAAAATAAATTCAGAGACTTTTAGAAACTATTTATAACTTTAAGTGAGAGAAACGTGTATTTTTGATTGTAAATAATTTTTTATGTTTTCTTAAATAATTTGATATTTTTTTTAAATTAATTCCTATAACTATCAAGGTTGTTTAGCAAAAAACAAACGTTTAACTTAACAAAGTTCAAATTCAACTCGTAATCATTTCCTTAACTTAATCCATATAAATCAAGATTTCTAGATTTCCCAAGCACTCGAAAGTTCTGATTGTGCCTTAAAGTGTGCGTTTTGCAATTTGCAGCTAAAAAATGTGATATACTTTGTACCAGGAAATTGTAAGCAATATTATTAGTTACACATTTATGTCTCATTATGAAGTGGACTTTATTTATGGCGCAGTTAAAGCTATACTATATATACTTTATAGTTAATAAAAACATGATTCATAAATGTCGGTTCGATTGACGGACATGCATTTCCCTTATTTCACATGTCCAATTGGGGGAACAACACGCGCAGATATTACTTTTCAAAGATTAGATAGATTAGATAGATTAGATAGGCCTTTCTACATTTTATTTATATTTGTTTTAAGGTTTTAATTGTCCAAGGGATTTTCACAGTTACATTTTTTTATTTTTAATATTTTTTTTTAAGTATAGTTTTTGAGTTATGTAAGAGAGAGCTTTTTAGGGAACATTTTTAAAACATTTGCAGAATTCGTTGTTATTTATTAAGGCTTCTATCTATTAATTTAATGCCACAATTATTAACTTGTTAACTTGTGGTTTCACTTTTAAATATTAGAAATTTGTAAGTTCTTTTAAAAATGCTTGAAGTTTATCCATAACTGCACAAATGGATTTATATAATTTTTTGAAGCAATTTTTACTGTTTTATAGTTTATATTTTCACTTTTATTTTCTGATTATCCTTGAAGATTTCAGTTTAAGAATGACCGTTTTGTGTTTATATTTCACTTTCACTTGGTATTATCCTTTATCCTTGATCGGCAACACCTACCACTCGCTGGGCTTAGCACAAGAAGTAGCAAGGCTACTCCTGCTGCAATGGGTTTCATGATCACTTCCCAGGGCCACTGTCGCGCGTTATTCCGTATTAGCCACAAAAATGGATTCGGGCAACTAATTTTTAGCTGGCCAATGTGAGGCGTTTTATAGATTCTGGTCCGGTCGATCGATCGATCGATTGATGTGTCGTCCTATCGGCGCTGTTTGATTATTGGCTCTATATTAGGGGCCCATATTGTGCGCGGCCTGTTGCCATAGCTCTATGGCCGATAAAGCGCTGTTATATATAACCGATAGAGGGGAATTAACATAAAAAAGGCACCAACAAATACCCTATTGGCCGAGAGATAAGCCGGCCATAATCAAGCGAAAAATGTAGGCGCTGTGAACACGTTTACACGCCGCGATAACGGGCTAGAATATATGTTGCCTGATTGTAAGGAGGGGTAGTTTTAGCCTTGTTTGTCCAGCTATTGTTAATTGCATTGCGTTTTTTTGCACTCCACAAGCTACAGTACTACCTGCAAAGGCAATAACGCTTTAAGCTTGGCTTATCGATAACCTATTGGTTACAGTTAATCGATAGTTGGTCTGGAAATATATCACCCAGATGGCGCCTTTATTGGTTCAGAGCTGTAAATCAAGTAGTTGCTGGGACTCGGAAAAGCCCAGATAGAGGCCTTCCTAAGAACTTAATCTCTTAACGTATATTGCTAACTTTTATGGGCACTTATTGAACTTTAAGCCAGGCCATTGGATAATGTCACGAAATGGGAAAACGTGTGGCAAAACTAAATAAAATAAAATATTAAAATATTAAAAAATATTAAAAATATTAGAGACGTTTCCGACCCTATAAAGTATATATATTCTTGATCAGCATCAACAGCCAAGTCGATCTAGCCATGTCCGTCTGTCCGTCTGTCCGTCTGTCCGTCCGTCTGTCCGTTTCTACGCAAACTAGTCCCTCAGTTTTAAAGCTATCTGAATGAAACTTTGCATATAGTCTTCTATATACTCTCACTGCTATATATGTCGGAACGGGCCGGATCGGACGACTATATCATATAGCTGCCATACAAATGTTCGATAAATTTTTAGAAAAAAAATTATATCTTGGCTGTTTTCCAATATTTTTGCATCATTTTTGAGATATAGCCATTCTATATTATTCCAGAATTTTGGTAAAAATTTTATGAAAATCGGACGACTATATCATATAGCTGCCATAGGAACGATCGGGAAATTAATAGGAAAAAAATATAACTTCGTTGTTTTTCAACGTATTTTCATCTACTTTGATATATGAGCTTTTGTTATTAATTCAGAATTTTGGTTTAAATTTTATGAAAATCGGTGGACTATATCTTACAGCTGCCATAGGAACGATCGGGAAATTAATAGAAATAATTATAACTTCGTTGTTTTTCAACGTATTTTCATCTACTTTGAGATATGAGCTTTTGATATTATTTCAGAATTTTAGTATAAGTTTTATGAAAATCGAACAACTATATCATATAGCTGCCATAGAAGCGATCGGTAGATGTAAAGCTCGGAATTTAAAACTTTAACTGTCAACTGTAAACATAAGTATAGGTAAAATGTAATAAAACTCTGTTTTGTGTGTGTTTTCAGCATTTAAGTCTATAATACAAACATCAAAAACAATCTGCAAGGGTATAAAAACTTCGGCGTGCCGAAGTTAGCTTCCTTTCTTGTTTAATCTCAATCAAAACACAAAATAAAGCATGAAATCAGTTCGGAATTATAGTAGATCTTATTTCACAATTCCCCCAAATCATTCCTATTAAATATGATGGTTATATAAATAGGTTTTCTTATCGACTCTTGGATTTTCGTCATATACTCCACAGCTTCTCTGGCTTTAATCTATGACATAAAGCCACCAACATAAGCACCAAAAAGATTGTAATTGAAGGCGGCATATTTATGGTCATATCATAAAAATTAGTTTAACAATAGTTCGTACATAGTAGATTAGGGTTTTTTGGAGAAGGTCGTGGGAATTAAAATCTAAAAACCAAAGCGAATATTCCCGTCTTATTTATGAAGATTATAAATGCCAAGTGCCAATTGAGCAAAGATCAGCAAAATGGAAACTTGCAATCTGAAAGCCGAATTTGGTTTAGTTGTTGGGGGAATCTCTGTGGTCGTCGAAGTGGTAGGTGAAACTGTTGTTGGAGTTGTTGGTGAGACTGTTGTTGGAGTTGTTGGGGAACTTGTAGAAGAACTTGTAGAAGAACTCGTAGAAGAGCTCGTAGAAGAACTCGTAGAAGAACTCGTAGAAGAACTCGTGGAAGAACTTGTAGAAGACTCTGTTGATCCCGATGAACTTGTTGTTGAATCGGTGGTTGAATCCGTTGTTGAATCCGTTGTTGGCGCATCATCCTCCTTAACTATCTGATCATTGCAGTGGGGTTGCTCCAAGGGATCACACAAATGGCAGTTCCTATCAGCCAGACATTTTACTTGTTCCGAGAGAGTTAAAGAACATCCTCGTTCTACAAGATCTCCCTCGATACTCGCATAGCAGAAACTTCTGCCTGTTCTGGCTATAGAACAAACTTGGGCTTGCAGAAGTCCCGGAGCTTCAGCACATTGGGAGTCCTTTGGGAAAGCATATATTATTTGAAAAGTATTTAAAAATATTTATATTACATTTACCTCTGTACTATTACACTGAAGACAGCCGGCTCGCTTGGAGCCCACATTGTTGCACTTGTTCAAAACACAAATTTCACAGTCAACTCCGGTTTCCCTGCCATCTTTCCCACACTTTTCCCTCCAAGTATCCTCTAGACTTTCCAAACATCCTTGGGCCTGTATAGTGCCTCCTTGAAAAACGCTGACACAGGCATCCAAGCGATCTGCGCAGGCTTCCTCACCGCTATAGTTACTCCTCTGGCAGTTAATCCCTCGACAATAGTTACATCTTTCCGATGCCAGGACATGGCTGCCCGCGAGGAATACGAGCGCCAGCAGAAATGGAAAAATATTAGTGATTGACATTGGGAGGAGGCAAGTTTAGCATTGAAAGGGTCTTAGTCGCTGGCCAGCGCTTTATATAAATTCTGGTCAAGAGAGCCCACTTGGATGTTCCATCATCGATAGTCGTCGGTCTTGAGTGTGTAAACAAACATGTTAAGTGATTCTCAATTCGTGTTCTCCTCGGTAATTGCATAAACAATATTGTTGTCTTTGCGGGGCTCCTTAAGCCCAATTGCACTCAAGTGGTTGTGGGGCAGCTTATAGAGTAGTCGCAAGTAAATAAAAACAAGTTTACAACGTTAATGGGACTTTTTTTTTGTCATTAAGAGGTTATCTCTTGCGATTAGACAAGAAACTTGGACAATGGCTTAGAAGGAATGTCGTTGAGAGATAATATTTAAGGGGCTTTACTGAAGGTTAAAGGTTTTTATAGGAGTTTGGGTAATTTTATGTATAAGAAGTGGTGATGTAAAAGGAAATATTATATCTATTATAATAATAATTACTCTCATTTTATCATTTATAGTTTAAATAGTAAATTATTGCTTAAGATTGTCTAGTATTTCCACAGTCTACTTCGGAAAATGACTTTTAACAAATCAATTAAAATCAAATATAACTTTATTCGTTTAAAACTAATTTATCCAAAGCCTAAATAATATATAAAAGTAGATTTTTAACTATTTTATTGATTGAAAATATATTTTTTTTATATTAAAATAATCTTAAGGCAATGCACACTCTTGGGAATTGATGTATTTACTATGAGAAATCCTTTAAAAAATGCATAACGATTTCATAAATACTAAAAGTGCTTTTGATTTAGGTTCTTAAAATTAATTTAACGTTTTGTCTTAACATTTTAGGCATAAGAAAGGGTTATTTAAATGTGAATTTTATCTTTAAATAGGTCACTTGTAATTATAACCTAATGAATTCATAATAAATATAAAGTAATAATCCACTTCGAATTCTCTTTATTTTAGTTTCTTACAATTTGTTCATTTATTATTTAGTTTTATTAAAAGTTTTAATATTATATATTTTGAATTTTTACATTAAATTTATCTCAGAAAGCGAATAAAACGATTTCCAGCGCTGGAACTCTCCTCGATGTTGGCCGCATTACAGTTCCTAATATCTCCGGAGGAGCACAACAGGCAGTTGGTATCATTGAGGCAGGTTTGCTGATCGGTTTCTGTGGTGGAACATCCCCTCACAATGGATCCGCCCGAGGATTTCACATAGCAATACGAATTGGGAGCTGTGGGGGCAGCACAGCGAGTGGCCTCCAAGGTGGCAGCATTCGAGGCGCAATTGGAGTCCTTTTGGAGGTTCAAAACAATTATACATAAAATATTATTTAAAATTTTTAAAAATTACAAACAATACCTTGCTGGAATCACACTGAATGCAGGCATACTTGGCCGATCCCACATTATTGCATTTATCCGTGTTGCATTTGTAGCAGGAGCGATTGTCGTTGCATTTCGAACGCAGGGCATAGGGAATTTCCAAGGAGCAACCCTTGAACACAACCTTGGCTGAAATGTTTAAAAGAAGCTTTCTAAGTACCTTGTTTAGTTAAAATGTAATCTCTGACTCACCCTCATCGTAGATGGCCACACAGTAGTCCAGGGAATCCACACAGGACTGCGTCTTGGCCAGACTAACCCGCTGGCAGTTGGATCCCTCGCAGCTATGGCAGGTGGTCACCTTGTTGGCCGCCACATTAGCCACCAGGAATCCCAGCAGCAGCAGCAGCGCACTCGCAATTGTTTGGGCCTTCATTTTGGGGCTTCGACTGTCGGGCAATTGGCCAATGCGATCGGCTTTTATACCGCCAACCACTTCAAATGCTCCACTGAAGAGTCCTCGAGTGCGGTTTCTGCCATTGTGTGTGCGTGAGGGTGGGTGACGGTGTGTGCCGGCGTCTGATTGTGTGTGCGTTTGTTCGTGGAAATGGCCAAACACTTGAGAACCTTTCATGAAGAACTTACAGCAGAGGATAGTTGTATATAAACAGCAAGAGATAAAGGTAGAATCTATGGGTGGGACAAAAACTATAGTTTATTTCAGGTAATTCATTTCTTGATAACGATTTTATTTGTTGTTAACCTTGTATTTGGTGAATGTGTTTTTGAAACTTTTGTTGATTTTCTTGTATGATTCGTTGACAAATCAGTTATATCTTTACGTTGACCAGAATATATTGTATAAATTTTAGCCTAATCTAAGCAAAACTTCTGCCATAATCTATTTTCCGTTTGTAGTTAAAATTATAATTATTAGTTTAGTTTTTTAATGGAAATGAAAGTACAGAATAGTATTTCCAAACTCTTAATAGAATAGTTCCTACTTTCCTCACCTCCACTGTATTTTGCCCACCTTTTTGAAGTGTCCTCTAAAATAAACCGACTGCCAAAGAATTCCCCTGTGATTAAACTGTGGTGTTATTCCAACAATCACATGCTCGCTTAATGTTGAACAACAAAATATAGATAATGTTTTAACCAAAATAATCAGTAATTTATTTATTTGTTATTATTAAAAAATAACTATTTAAGCAATTTAAGCAATATCAAAGCCATAGAGGCCAATCCCAAACTGCTGACGAATTGTCCTTGGCCATTCTTGGAATCGGTATCCAAATCGAAATAGTTGCAGGCATTGGAATCACTAGAGTCCTCCGGCAGGCAAAGTGAACATTTGTCATCATCCAGGCAGGACTTTTGCTCCTTTACAGACAAAGCACAGCCGCGTTGCAGAGATGAGCCGACGACCTTGACATAGCAATAGGAGTTGGCCGAGGTGGGGAGTCCGCACTGGGCAGGAGTTAGGGAGGCAGAAGAACCCTTGTTACAGTCAGAGGTCTGGTAAAAAAATGTTTAAAAAAACTGAACTTTTAAGGATAATTTAAGGATATGGCATACTCACTTCCGAGCCACTGCATTGAAGGCATTTAAAGTCCCTGCGTCCTTGATTATTGCACAATTGGCCGCTACATTTCTGGCACTGACTGTCCCTGGCCGCACACTTGGCCTGGCCAGCCAGGGAGATCTGAGAGAAGCAACCCCTTTCGCTGACGGCAACTTGAGTTTAAAGAGTTTAATTTTAAAATATTTATTAAATTACTGATAGAATCCTGTACTTACAATCATTATAAATTGTCACACAGACATCCAGCTTATCAGAGCAGCTTATGGTGACATTCTGACGGGTTGTTCTCAGGCAATTAATGCCCTCGCAGCTATAGCATTTCGGAGGTTCCACCGCATTCTGAACCCCAGTCTGAACTTCTGCACTTATTAGATGAGAAGCCAGCAAAAAAGTCAACAAATAAAGCAGCATTTTCCTCTGAAAACCTCCTTTGGCTTTGGTCAACCGAACACAACTGAAACTTGATGGCAAATAATTTTGAAAAAATGGAAAAAACAACCCACGACACTTGAGAAAAATTAATCAAGAGTCAACAAAGTGATAACGAAATTACAATGCAGCACTCACCCTCAAGATGTTTCCCCATAGATTAGTATTATTTTTTGCCGGACTTATATCACAGGGAATAGTACTATATATTCGCTTTGTTTGCTTGGCCATTGAAGGGTCTTATCTCCGGCTTAGATAGTTCCGAGTGACTCACTCGCCCCGTGATACTTGCTAATTAAGAATTATTTATTAACATTTGTTTTGATTTGTATTGATATTCCTTTTTGGGGGTTTTCTTATCAAACATTTTCGTGGGTTTTTAATTCCGTCCAAATGTCTTTCAATGGCTAATAGACGGTCACTGGTGAATTTATGTGGCCCAGAGTTATCGGCCAAGTTATCAGTGAGTTATTGCAATCAATTTTTATGACACACTGGCTCACAATCGAAGAGTGCAAAAGATATGGCCGATGGCCGACATTTCTGGGTCTTTAATTGAGTTAACTACACTTTTTCTTTGTGGTTTAAATTTAACTTAAATTTAACTTGAATTTTCCGTGAGCTTTAAGGCTAAGGTCAAGCCTGCACAGCCTGTACTTATTTGCATACATTTCCCAACGATTTTCCTTGGTCTTTTCCCTCACCAGCAACACGAGGAGATTATGTTATGAAATCCGGAACTGAAAAAATAAGTTTTTGGGAGGAAAAAGGAAACGAAAATAATACAAACATAACAAAGAAATATGCAAAGCAGATGAATTGGGAAATAACCACAGGAAAATAAGAAAAATAAAAGACCAGGAAGAACGGAAGAAAACTGAAATTGGTAGCTTACACACAGGACTCGAGCGAATGCGAAAACTTTTTAGCCTTGGTAATAGGGAAAGGCCAAAATGACACAGAAATGAAAATGAGAGTGGAACAGCATTTCTGTAGAGGGGAAGATTTTGTTCAGTAAATCCACTTAAAAGTAAATAAAATGTGTAAAAAATAAGGAAAATAAGAAAATGTAAAGGGGATTTCATTTAAAGGGCCAACAGGTGTTTTCTTAGAGTTAAATTAATTTTTAAAATCCATTTCCCAATTTGTTTTATAGCTTATAAGGTTTGATTTTTGCTACTTATTCTTTTGATTTAAATTTTAAATTTAAAGTTCTTAAGCTTAAAAAGTTTCCATTATATATTTTAAACTTTTAAAACTATATTTTTAACACTTTCTTATATTTTTTCCACACTTCCTTCGTATTTCTTCAACTTTTCTTGACTTTTCTCGACTCTTTCCTTTACGTATTCCCCGTAATTTTCTCGGGAACGCGTAGGAAGATTCCTTTGGGTCCTTCAAGTATGATATCCTTCCGGTCCACACACTGGATCCTCTCCTCACGCGCCATGCTTTGGTATTCCTGGCCGCCGCTGACCACGAACTGGAACTCATCCATTCCTGCACAGGCGGCAGCATAGGAGCCCAGACGAGTGACCACCACAATGCCGCCATTGAACTCCGTATTGTGTTTCAGCATTCTCTGGATGACCGACTCGGCGGCCTGGTATATACTCTGACCCGCTCGCAGGGCTTCCACGGCGAGGAAGGCGGGCAGGTGTCGCATCAGGACATCACCGTCCCCGCTGACCACAGCACCGCCCACCTCGTTATCTGCATAGATCCCGGCACCCGGCACCGCCGAGTCCCCCACGCGTCCCGGAATCCGGAACTGAGCTCCACTCGAGTGGCTGGCCACATGCAAGCGACCCTCGCCGTCCAGGGCCAGGAAGGCCAGTTGATCGTGTTGACCCTGCTGGATGAGATATTCCTGGCGTAGGGGCTGCGGGCGGAGAAGATGCTCCGCCAACGGAGAGTAGGGACCACAATTATCCGACTCCGAGGGAAGAACATCGCGCCAGAAATTCGGCTGACAGCGTTGCATTCGCCATTCACTGAGGACTTCCTTGGTGTAGGGACTCGAGAGTGGCTCCTCCTCCTGGTAGCCCAGGGATTTGGCAAATATTCCAGCACTTTCGCCCACAATCAGCGAGTGCTTTGTGTACTGCAGGACGGAATCCGCCACGAGGATGGCATGCCGAACACCCTCCAGCCCAGCAACGGCGCCAAACTTCAAGGTCTCACCATCCATGATGGCTGCTTCGTATGTGAGATTTCCTGCCTCATCCGGTGAAGATCCTTCGGCCAGAAGGCGACCACATCGCTTGTGCAGACAGGCCAGGCAGCCCTGGATCACAGCTTGGCGGGTACGGCGAGGTCCTTCCATCAAGACACTCCAGGCCTGCAGATTGGCATCCCTATAGCTCCAGGTACTGATCACCAGAGGATGAATCTTGGTTTTAAGGGGTTTTTTGGTTTGATTTTCTTGGTTGCTGGTCTTTTCCTGAACCGTGCAGGGGGATTTAAGCAGCGGAAGGAGCAGGATAAGCAGGTGAAGGCTACACCTCATCTCGGAAGAGTTCACTAATGACTGAATAGAAAAGGGAACAAGCAAGGCTTTTGGTAATTTCTAGGTTTCACTTTAAGGTTTTATCAAACTAAAACTAAAGCAATTTAGAATTAAATTAGAGTTTTTTAGATTAGCTTAAGGTTTTAATGGACAATTTGTTAAGCAAAGAACTAACATAACAGCTGTGTTGTATTCTAGATTTATTGATTGATTTATTTACTCAAATTAAATACAAAAATTCAACAAAAGATACTTTCGCCAGGCCAGCAGTCTGTTCTCAATGAATAAGTAAAGCTGGGCATTTACACCTCCTCAGATACATATTCATACTCGAATCCCACAGATACATTTTGATTTATTTACTGCAAACAATTTGCAAGTATTTATCCTATTCATGCATTGTCAACAAGCCCAGATATCTGCCAGACAAAATCATAAGATACAATATTTGTTATGCATCGAACTTTGTTTCTATATATATGTATGAATTTATGGGTGTTTGTTTGTTTGCTGCTCGCCTGTGTGTGTCTGCCTGCGTGTACATATCTGATGAAAACAAAACTTTTAGGTCCAGAACACATGTGTGTGTGTGTGGGCAAGAGGGGCGAAAAATATTGGCAATTGGATGGAGGGGGCGGGCTGTCACAATTGCCACCCACTCCTACGTTTGAAAAGGGAAAATCGGAGCAAATATTTCGGCACAGTGTCATGGACAGTTGGGGTGTCTCAGCCATGATTCATAGATGGCATTTCAGGGTTAACTTGGGGATCTGAAAATCATCAGGGAAAATGTATTTATTGATGAAGAAAACACTGATTTTGTTGTGGTGTAATTTAATCTATAAATAGATGGATTTTCTTTTAATAAATACACATAAATTAATGTAATATTTAAGCTTCCTTATATTTAGTTTCTTTTTAAACATTTTCCCCTATTTACCGACTTAATTTTCCATTCTAAATAAATAAAAGCTGATGTTTTATTTGGACCCACAGTTCGATGGCTCACGGTAGCACTTTCCCCTCATCGTTTTCCACTTATCAAAAATGCTGTTTTCTCACAATTGACTTCAATTATATGCTGGCCATATGTATTCATTGCTGATTGATTGATTGATGAAGCCCAGCCGATGGTTTAGTTCAGAATTGCATAAATCCTTGGCGCCGCAGCCTTTCAATTTCCTTTGGGCCCACGTTATTATGGCCTGCGGTTCGCTGTATCTCCCTCTCTATCACTCTACTACAGCCCTCTCTCTCTCTCTAACTCTATAGACCCCTCTCTATCACTCTATAGCTCCCCAGCTCCCACAACGCTCTTGTAATTGCGTTTATTGTGCGTTTGAGATTTGTAATTCGCTGCCTGTGCCGCTGTTTCTGAATTCGCATCCGAATCTGTGCACATGTATCTGTATCTGGTAGGTGCCAGGCCGATGTTTGTATCTGCGAACATATGGTTGCGCGTGTGGGCTCGGTTTGGCCGTGTTGATTGAAAATGGCTTAAGTAATCGACAGTTGATTGGCTGATTTGATTGCTGGCGTTGTAGTTCGGTTGTCACTGAATATTGTTCGGTTTGTTCGGATTGAGTTTTGGCATTTGCGAATTGTGGAATTTGTGGGAATTGCCTTTGGCTTGGTAAATGGGGTCAGAAATATGGTTAACTGAATAGTCAAAAGCTTGTTTTTGACTTATTTATTTGTATATTATTCTGGGAATTTATTAGAGATTTTTTGAGTAGTAAAATTGCAATGTAAAACCCCTAGAAAAATTTTTAGAAATAATATTCCTTGCCTTTATAGTTTCCTGTATAAATTATCATATTTTATAAACATTTAACCCTAACCTTTTCATGTATTTACCTCACCTTTGATTTGGTTTTTCTCAGCCACAAAAGTACTTTCAAAAATTAACAGATTGACAAGCGCCAGGCACATCCTTTCACTTTCTTTCGCCTCACTTGTGCGTTTTCCTCAACTTTTCCATGTCAGGTACAATCTTTGAGTCGGCGGGGAACCCTGACCCAGATACGCCTCCTCGTCCTTCCCCCTCCTTGGAGGCTCTTGAGCGGCTAAATAAGCTTGCTGGCTGGCTGGCTGGCTGCCTGCCTGGCGGCTACAAACACTTTTGCGCCTGGACGCAGCCACGAGCAGCACTTTGAGCCAGGCGAACGGTTTTTTGGGTGGCATGGGTTAAGTTGCTGTGTGTAGCAAGACGTGAATAACACGCCAAAGCCAAAAGCAAACAAACAAAGTGCCACGAGGAAGAGGAGGCGGCCGCAAAATGACGCAAAAGAAAATCCACTTTTCTCGCTCAGTAAAAAGTTCTTCACATAATATGGCTCTGTGTGTTGTTGCCACTGATGCATGTTACCTGTTACCTGTTACCTCTTTGCCTTTTTACCAAAATACCACCATTAGTTGACCTGAAAAAGGCTCTGCTCTTCGCTGTTCAGTGGCTTCTTCTTCCACATGCACTCCAAATATTTAACATAAACAAATATACAGAAGCGCCACTTCAAGAGCTGTCTCTTAGGGTATGGCTCAATCTTGGAGAAAAATCGAGAGAAGTCTTGAAAATATTTTCATAAAGAGAGGGAACCTTAAATAGTATTTAGAAGGTCTAATATACAATCTAGAAATATTTAAAAATATAGTTAATGAAAGTACAAAATAGTTAACTCTGGGAAAATGTATATTACACATTTATACTCATTTCTATATTGTTTATTATTTAAGAAAAACCTTTTTTAAATATTTTATTTAACCTCTCAACGAACCTCCTCTCTACGACAACTATCTTTAATCTAGAAAGAGATACCGATCCCCCAACCTAAACAAAACCAGTTCAACTGGACATCCAAAGAGGAGTTGCTGACTGATTTTTCTGTATGGCCCAGAGCAAAACCCTTGTTGGGTGGGCAATTTTAAGCAGAATATCGCGACATCGGGCAATCAAAACTGCCATGATTAATGTCAGCACAATTGACATAAAGCATTGGCCATGGCCAAGAGCTGGTAGAACTGGGTACTAGTTACTGGGTACTGGGGAGGAGGTTGCAATTATTGATGGATTATTTACTGTCAGCACTGTCCGTTATGACAATGAGATATGGCCACAGGGCGGGCTGTCGTCGTCTCTGCGTCTGTCTGGAGAATGTCTGCAGCCAATGACATTCACTAGAGAGTTTGCTGCCCTCCAGCGCGACTCATTGAATTTTTCTACGATTTTTCAATGATTTTTCTCTGGCTTCCTCTGGTTTCTCTCCGTTTTTTTTTCATTAGTTTTTCCTTCTTTTTGGCATCTCTGACTTGGCAATTTATGGCCCAAGCATCATTAGTATTCACTGGTTTATTCAATATATATTCTCAGCATATTGCATTGATGCATTAATTGCGCGTAATCACCTTTCATATAAATATCCAAACAATGGTGGCGCACAGGCACCTGTAAAAGTCAATGTTACACTTGGAAAAAAATATATAAAATACAATTCTGATAGAAGTAGAAAATGATATGGTTTTTACTCTTGCAAATCAATAAAAAGTACTTAATCAATTTGTGGAATAAAGTCTTAGATATACAAGAATATCTATAGAAATCTTTCTTAATTTATATATATTTCAAATTTATATAAATTTTTTTCTCCCTGCATAACTTTCAAGACGGGAAGCCAAAGTCAAAGTCAAGGAACATGGCTTTGGCGACGCCTTAGCCCTCATTTACATATTCCGTGTAATTATGCGTGGAAATTACAACGGGAGCGGATGGACAGCGATGGGCAGCTAAGGGGGCCACCAGCTACCATCGTCATCGTCATCATCATCATCATCATCATAGCCGTCGCATAACTTCTTGTCATGTCTGTGAGACTTTTGGCTTCCAGTCGAAGGCAGAAGCAGACATTTGCCGTTAATTATGTTGACAGCATTGACAGCCGCGATTGGGGGATATGGCTTCGCCAGGCTGGAGGGGGACCTGGGACCACCAGCCGTGTTGTGTCATTCGATAAACGTTTAAATCGCCTTGCATTGATAATAACCAAACGGTGGCCATTACGATGAGTCCGCCCTGATGTCCCCCTCTAATGGATAATTTGTGTTTTGGCCCAAAAAAAAAACTTTTGATTTGGCCGCCGCTCAATCACATTTCGAATGCAAAACGTCAAATGTGGCAAATGGAAATGAAGAACGTAAAAGAAGTTATGCTTCTTTGATTCCTGATGACTTGAGCAATTTCCATAAATTTGTTCTGGAAAAAAGGTCTAGTAACAAGCTAAGGGAGTGGGGCTTGAAAGGGGGTCAGTTGATGTGAAAAAGTGGAGAAAACATTGTATATAACTTAACGTAACGTGACTATATTTAACTAATCAATTTAGTATTTAGAAAATAAAGAAAAGTCAAGGAAAGGCATTCGTTTTATTATAGTTATAAATCTTTCCTGAGGAACTGAGATTGTAAAAGTTTTTGATATTTTATGTTCTTATGGGTTTTATTTTATAAAATTAGTAATTAACCAAAGCGAACTTCAAAGCGAGGAACCAATCAATTGAGAAATGGTTATACATTTAAAAGTCCAAGGAAAATGCATTCGTTTTAGTATAATTACAAATCTTTCCTGCGGAAGTGATACCTCAAAGGTTCCAGTCAGAGATTGGATCCCGAAACATGAACTTCAGCGCTGGAACTTTTACCATCATCTTAGTCTTGGGGATATTGGTTGGAGGCCAAGGAAGGCCTAGGAATAAATGCCATCCTGGTTATCATTGGGAGTGGCCAACAAGGAGCTGTGTTTCAAATAGGCCATATCCATATGTCACATAAAAAATGTAAAATCGGAATAAACAATAAACAATGTTATAGGTAAAATAAATATATCAATATACAATTTCCTTGAATTTGTTTATTTATTTTGTTTATTATAAACAGCGCTCTTTACGGCCTAAAGTAAATTATACTATATTAAGATGGAACTAATCGATTCAGATTTTTCCTATTAAACAAGG